TAAGTACGTGGGTAGCCGAAGAGGAGATTAGAAATTCAATATGCTAAGAAAGTTCTAAAATTTTTCATGGCTCGTATTGAAAAATTTTTAGTTCATCCTCAATTAAATCTGCAATTCTTCTCTCGTACCAATGGTTCTTCTCTTATATAAGGCCTTTTAATTTCTCCAATAAAAAAGTTGAAAGGAGTTAAATCACAAGACCTTGTCTGGCTAAGATATGGTTTGTTCCCATCCAATTCTCCATTTAATAGTTCATTTGTAACACTGGCGTTTTAATTGTATGTGGTAATGCTAATATAAAATGTTGATTTACCTTTTCAAAAGTCTTTAATTGTGCAGATAAATAATAATATAGAACATTAAATTGTGGTAAAAAATAATTAGGCATGTAGGTCAACACAAAAAGGCCCGCTTCAAAAACTTATTTTTCTCTCATTTTTAGAAATAAATGCCCATAATTGTATATCGCTAGAAAGGGTTAAACGCCAGCATTTTTTTTAAGCCAAGTATGATTTCCATTTAAAAAATTATATTTTTTAATATTTCTGACAAAAAGAGCAAGCGCAGAAAAAAACTGACTACGCCCACTGGATTGCGCTTAAAAAAGTTTTTTACAGAATTTTATTATTCCGCGAAATACAAAAGTTATGGGCAATTTTCCAAATGGTAAAAAATTCAAAAAGACCCCGTATCTCAGTTGGCACTCAACCTGTATATTTATGAACATTGAAAAATATTGAAATAGACAACGATTTAAATATACGTATTTTTGTTTGTCAAATATATAAATTGATTTCAATATTCTCCCAAATATGCGACCATTTTATTTATGTTTTAGCCTATACCGTAATTTAATTAATATATAATCAAGCTGTTTCCAATTTAATAGCGGTTCAATTTTCATTATTTGAACAGTACAAGTTGCCAGAGAATTAAACGTACATATATTTAATTATCGATAAATATTATTTATCAAATATAATGAAAAACAAATTTGCATTACATTAAAAATAATAAATTAATGGCGACGTTGAAAATTAATTGTGGCAAATTATTTTCGCCTGTTGGGAATGTGTTTGTATTAACGTGTTTGGTCGAGCGTTAAAAATATATCTATATCAGTGTTTGGTGTGTTTGCTGTGACTAACAAATTGGTCGCTTTTTTAGTAAGTGGTCTAGTGTATTGAATTGTTATATTTTAGCTTCTTTTTACTAGTGATGGGTATAAAACTGTTATGTTTAGATAACAGTTGAAACTGTTGTAGTTATTTATAAAAAACAGCTTAAAATAACAGCTTAAAAATAACAGGTTTCTTTATTTTACTGCTAAATATCTGAAAGAGTATGAGGCGGTCGCCGCCAGGCGTATTAACGCAGTTGCAAGTTACAACAATGACGTGCTCGGTAATAGTATTTCCAGGGTGTCAAAGCATTTTTAAATATCGATTGTTATCTAAAATACCTCTATAAAAACGGTGGTTGTTTACAAATAAGCGCTGTTTACAAATTGCGATATAAAAAAAGCCAAAATTCCGCCACTCGTCTATACCTATACATTCCGATCTACCTACGCCCTGCCCCTCGATCCGCGTAGATCCTGAATTGCTTAGTAGTTGCTAGTTGCTCTTAGTTATGATTTTACCATTTGCGGTCAAAAAATAGCAATATAAGAAAATGTGTAGTATATTCTTCTTAAGTAAACCAACTACACACTAGAATTCGAATTAATTTTACACTTAAACTAGCGTGTACCCGCGACTTCGTTCGCGTCGAATTAATAATTTCTAATGGTGATGATAAAGCAAAACAAGAATTTCCATTAACATACAAACTAGATAAAATTTTCTCACATTTGCCAAAAATAAGCTTTAAACGTCGAGCAGTTTAAGCAGAATGGTGGTTAATCAATTACTCAACTTTTTGGAACACCCTGTATGATTTTTTAAAAAATTTCAAAATATGTAAAAGAACAAAATAAATTATGCGTGCCCAGGCGTTTTCCCGAAAGACTAAGCGTTTTTTAAATAACAAATATTGTAATATTTGAGGGGCGTTTTCACCCTGTTGGAATTTGAGATTTGAGAAACCCCTCCTTATCGAAAACCAACCCCACAGTCAATCCGTTTGCCAAAAATCAACTTTAAACGTCAAGCAGTTTAAGCAGAATAGTGATTACTCGATGGTCATATTTTATGAAACACCCTGTATATATTTTTAAAAAATCTTAAAATATGTAAAACAACATAATAAAATATACGTGTTTTAAGAGTTTTCCCGAAAAACTCACCGGTTTTTAAATAAAAAAATTCTAATATTTGAGGGTAGTTTCACCCCCTTAGATTTCGAGTTTCAAAAAATCCTTTCTTATCGAATCTCTACACCCTAAAGTCAATCCGTTTTCCAAAAATCAGCTTTTTACGTCAACGGCTTTAAGCAGGATCGTGATTAATCAATGACCAGATTTTTCAAAACACCCTGTATACATTTTTAAAAAATCTTAAAATGTTATTCTGAAAATTTTTCAGAATAAATAAATACCTAAATATTGAAACTTAATAAGTAAGTACTGAAACATACAGCGCCATATTATGCTCGTAACAGGTTGAAACAGAATGTATCTAAAACAACTGATGGCGTTATTCTCAAACCTGTTTCGAACCTCCATCGACAATCGACCGATGCAGCAGCATTCCTTTCCCACTCCTGTTATCTCGACCGCGTTATGCCCGCAACTGTTTCAAAAAACCTGCTTCTTTTATATCCTATTATTTTTCAGCTGTTGTAAGCCCAATACGACCATCAACGGCATCGACCGAAGCAGCTACGTTCGCCGTAGCACATTCCCCACTCCGTTGTCCGTTGTCTCGCCGCCTGTATCGATGGTTGACGAAATAACATGTTTTCCATCCATACTAGTTGTTTTTTGGAATTGCTTCGAGCAGCATAGAATTTCGTGTCGGTGCAGAGCGCCGACTTCGTTTTTCGTTTCACGAACGGCCGATCTCTTCGTGTCGTTATTTTATATCTGTTATTTTTAGAAGTAGTAACGGTTGCGTTATGTTATTTATAAATAATTGTTATAAAATAACAGATAGTTAAATAACAACCCATCACTACTTTTTACAAGCGTACCATAATTTATGGCTTTCCCAATAGAATTTGCATTCGCCTTGTTTTCTTAGTTACAATCTACTGACTTGTTCATTCAGGAAACAGTGTCCTGAACAACCGTGACAATCCGAAGATTGTTCTTACTTAAATCAAGAAAAATCTTTGATATTTCTTTGTCGTAAGTTCTGAGAAATTTCTTCGAGTGTCTTAGACCTTTGCAGGATTCCCAGAACGGTTCTGATCCAATTAGTGGAGTGTTTGCTCCTTTTCTAGTTAGAATGCTCGCTTCTATCCCTTCTATCCTTTGGTGGGCTGGAATCCAGAGTAGGAAGATTATATTGTTTTGCCTAATTTGATCAGCTTTTCTAGGCATTCTTTGACCTACTTTAAATTGATGGTTACTGAGTTGTCTTGTTTCCAATAGTTCTTCTCTAAGATAAGTTGTAAGTACACATCTTTCGATAGCGTAGATTTTTGCCTGAAGGATGCTTGGTAGGTGCCCACTGGTTCGGAGTATTTAGTTTTCGGCCCAAATACTTCTATCCCTGTTCTTGTTTTGGTTTTGGTAGCATCAGTATACCAAGTTATGGTATGGTCTTTTGCTGCGCAAAGGTTTTACTCTCCCAATCCTTTTATTGCTCACTGGTTCGGAGTATTTAGTTTTCGGCCCAAATACTTCTATCCCTGTTCATGTTTTGGTTTTGGTAGCATCAGTATACCAAGTTATAGTATGGTGTTTTGCTGAGCAAAGGTTTCACTCTCCCAATCCTTTTATTGCTCAATTCATGCGTCGAAAGGTAGCTGAACTACTAAACTAAACAAGATAAACCCACCGTGTTTGGGCGCATTAAAAAATCACCACCACAAAAATTTAGACAATATTCATTATATTGTTAGTATGATATACTATGTGAACCTTAAATAGCGGTGGGAATTCTAGTTCCTTTGGAGGAACTAGTTCGTTAGTTCTTTCTAGTTCCTTTAGAGGAATAGTTCTTTGAAGGTCTTTAGTTCACAATAGTTTCCGACTAACATTGACATCCCCGTTGCTTTGTTGCAACTATTCACAGTATGATCTGAATAGTTTTTATAATGTAGAGATATAACAAGATGTGTAATTGCGTATGTTAAAAACATGTAGTTAAGTTTAATTGCAGATAAAAAAAATTAAAAAAGAAACTCGAATCAGAGTTTGAAAAACTATATCACAAATCATCACGGGAGCAAATAATACGAAAATTTTACGAAAAATTGCATTTTTTGTCACTTTTTGTTATTGTCTACAAATTCAAAATATCTACTTCACGTTTTATAAGATATTTCTTAATTTTAGTGACCTAAACTGAAACACTCCCATAAAATATTCAAGGAACAAACTAAAAATCAAAAACAGCATCCACAACAATTTTCTATTTTAATTACGCCGGCTATGGCAATAGACAAGGCCGAATCCATCGTCGTCGCCTTGTATTATATCTCAGATCTGCCGACTGAATAGATTCCCTTGAACTAGTTTTTTAATTAGTTCCTCTCAGTCCTTTCAGTCCGGGACAGATAACATAGGCCTGGTACTCTCCACTCCCGCCTAGCATCGGGCTATGATCGCGCTGGCCAATCCATACGTAAACTAGTCTTTTATTTAGTTCCTCTAGGTCCGGATCCGATAACATACGGCTGGCACTCCCCACTCCTACCTAGCATCGGGCTACGATCGCGCTGGCCGATCCGTCGCTGTCGCATATTATTATATATCGGTCACAGTCTCGATTCCGGAATAGGTCTTGGGGAACTAGTTCTTTGGGAAACTGGGAACTAGTTCCTTTCATTCCGGCGTCGGAATAGTTCATTGGAACTAGTTCGTTCACAAACTACACACCTCTAATCTTAAATAACTTTAATAGTTAAAAAATAGTTTTATTGTTCAAAATTTATTATAACATTTTCTTTCTTATAAATATAAGTTTATTGGTACAATATAACAAATTTAAACCATTACAGGGAAAATAATACTTAAAACTATCAGTACAGTAACAGGAACATATCCAAATGTAGCGGTTGATGGAGTCGTTGATGGTGTTTCAGTGGTTGAAGTTGTTGTAGTAGAAGTACTTGTAGTAGTGCTAGCTGTAGAAGAAGTACTAGATGTAGAGTCAGTTTCAGTGATACCGTAATAGTCAAGCAAATATTGACGGTAAGTATTGACCCATGCCAGGTTGTTCTCAGCTGAGCTCTTGGCTACTGCGGCAGCTTCTCGAATAGTACTATTGACAGCGTCAGTAGCGATAAAGTTTTCCAGCTATATAAAAAAATACATATTAACATAAAAAATACAATAATCAAATATATACTTACTTTTTTAAATTGACTCTCAGTAGTGATCAATTCAGCAATTTTTTTCAGTATATTTCCGGCTGCATTGACACTGGTGTAACTAAAAGGTAATTCCTATATTTATTGACTTTAATTTTATATTTACTCTTATTTATTAAAATTATTATTTTTATACATTTTTATCAAATTTGTTTATTTATACTTGATTTCCTTACCGTTGCAAGATCAAATTGAAATTATTTATGTAGAAGTCCAAAGTGAAATCCACTCCAATATCACTCTTTTGATAGACTGCCGAAAAAACTGATGCGTAGTCTTGAGATCTGACCCCACTGTTGTCATTCAAAGTTTTATTCAAATATCTAGATAAACAAAATTAAGTACAAAATACAATAACATTAGTTTTGATCACTAAATGACACTAAAAAGCATAGTTGAATTATTCTTTATATGTTTTTATGTAATTACCCATTCAGAATAGTCTCGTTTGATGTGCAGCCCAATGCGGCTAATACAGTGGCTTGTTCAGTGGATAAAGAGGTATTTAAATAGGCGTTCCATAGGAAGTTCCAGTCAGAATTTATGTCAGCACTGTATTTCAATCCGTAACAGTAAGCTATCGAACGAAGGTTCTTGTTTGGCCTAGAAAAATACTATAAATTAATTTAAATACATTATTTGTAAAAGTTTTGATGTTATAGAAGGACTGGCCCTAATTGAATATTGCTTTTAAAAGTTGTTAATACAACTCATCACACAGTCTCAGGGCTTTGACAAAAGCCAGTATATGAGACGGTATCTTCGATATCAGTCCAAAGTTTATGGCACGAATGGTTGCCGTCTCTGCGTACTCAGTGATGAGGTGTTCTGGGGTTTACCCATTTTATCCAAAGAATCTGCATTCGCCCTTGTTTTGAGGTATTCATTAAGGAGACAGTGTCCTGCTAAAAACCCCTTTAACAATCAAGAAAAATCTTTAATTTATTTATATTTTTAAATTAACAAATTGCAATACTATGGATTCAGGGGTGTGCCGCTCGAATGGCTTAAATCATATCTTGGCAACAAAAGCCAGCTTGTGAGAATTGATACATCTATGTCTTCTTGTAAGCCTATAGAATGTGGTGTCCCTCAGGGTTCAGTACTTGGCCCTATTTTGTTTCTGGTGTTTATCAACCACATTGCAATTCTAGACATTAGCGGTAAAATCTGCCTCTTTGCGGACGATACTAGTTTCACTTGGAGCGGCCCAGATGTTACGGCACTATATGATACTATATCCTGACTATGACTTACGCACCATTAAATCTTGCTGCGATTCTAATCTCCTATGCCTCAACCTTTCAAAAACTAAAGTTTGATTATGATATATAAAGTTTGATTATGATATAAAAGTACTATACAACCTTTTGTACTTAATAATACCACTATTGACGTCGTGGACTCTGTGAAATTCTTAGGACTTGTTGTAGACAACTCGTTAAAATGGGACTTGCACATCGAAGCTTTATCAAAGAAACTAAGCGCTGCCTGTTTTGCGCTAAGATCAGTTTCTAAGGAACTTAACTTCTCAACCTCTAGAATAGCCTATTATGCCCTTTTTGAGTCACATCTTCGTTATGCCCTTCCATTCTGGGGTACTTGCTGCGCAACAAAATTTGATCGTGTTTTCATACTTCAAAAGAGAGCAGTTCGATATTTATTGGGACTGAACAGTAGAACTCACTGCCAGAATTTCTTTAAAAATTTGAAAATACTGACTCTTCCTTCTTTATTCATTTTTGAATCCGTTTGCTTAATCCGCAAGCACATATCTGCTATTCCCGAAAGGCCATCTCATAACTATCCACTTAGGAATGCAGAGCACGATCTTTATCTGCCAACCCCGAGCTCAGAACTAGTTAAGGGTTCAATACTGTACAATGCCAAAAAAATGTACAATCATCTGCCTTTGAATATCAAATCGCTTTCATTCTTTCCCGCATTTCGCAAGGCTCTAAAATCATACCTACTGGAGAGAGCCCTATATGCGGTAAACGACTTTTTTGTTGATGTTTAATCATGAACAATTTTTGAATTTTAAATTTTGATCATCTCACACACTGGTTAAAGGTCTAGTATTTAATATTTTATAATTCTTACATGATTTTATCCATTTACAATTTTCCTTTTGTAAAATTTTATTGATACGCCCGTGTTCTGCAATGTCCATGTATGTTTTATTTGTAATTTTAATGACGTAAATTTTTTTGAATTGATTTGTATTGTATTTTTTTTTATTTGTGTTTTTTTTTTCTGCTTTTGTGTGTTGTGTAAATGCTTTGTCGATGAAGCTATTTTGGCTTTTTGTACAATAAAGCGTGTTTTTTTTCTCAATCTTAGGTGGTAAGGAATTTCTTCGAGTGTCTTAGATCTTTGGAGGATTACCATTCCAGGTTACGGATGGATTCTTCCAGGTTTTTGAGTTCCGCTTTAAGTCGGTTTCCATTTGGGAATCAAAACGGTTCTGGTCCAGTTAGTGAAATGTTTGCTACTTTTCTAGCTAGATCATTTGCTTTTATATTACCTTCTTTCCCTGGGTAGGCTGGCACCCCGAGTAGGAGGACTTTATTTTCTTTATCTAATTTGTTCAGCATCTCTAGGCATTCTTTAACCAGCTTCGAATTGATGGTTACTGAGTTGATCGCTCTTAAGGCTGCTTGACTATCGAAAAGCATAGCTATTTCTCTTCTCTTTTAGGTGGTTTTCCATAGCCTTTCTTCAAGTTGCGTCTCGCTGGTCGCTCTATTTAGATAAATAAATATTTTTTATTCCCAAATAATCAAAGCTACCGTACTGGCTGGGGATCGAACCCAGTATTACCAGGTAAATAGCAAACACACTTGCCTGTGAGCTACTGAAAACAATTACATTTAAAATATAATTCAAATAATTACCTTATGGAAGTTTCCGTGTAGTTTTTAAACAGTTCCACAGCAGTGTTGACACAGTCTGAATTTCCAAGGGAACACGCCCAGGTTTGAGCCTGAACTTGAGACATAGTGTACACGTGATTTGAAGCGTTTACGACAGATAATGGTACTGAGGCAATTAGAGATGCGTAAAGAGTACTTAAGTGGTTCTAAAAAAATGTAAATGAGTTTTAGTGTTTATTTTGATTCATTAATATTTATCAATACAAACTAAGTTACTACATAAACGTATGCTGCTGAAAGAATAACTGTAGGTAGTAGATTAAGTTAGTAGATTTAGGTTACTTACTGATCATTCATATCTAGGTTATAGTTTTACCTGGCTACTGTATAATATTGAAAAAATATCTTACTAAAATACTTGATCCCAACGTGGAGTTTCTTCCAACTCTCTTCAAAAGGTAGTCGAAACCATTAAAACTGGGATACCAAACAGCATATGTTGTTTCATTTGCTAAGAACTGAGTTACGTTAAACAACTGGCTATAAGACAGCGACCCAGCTCTAGCCAGACTAAATCCATCATTGATGATTTGAGCTCTGTTAATTTCTGGAATATCGGAAAAATTGGAGGCTTGGAGTGCGACAGCTAGTCTGGACCATAGAGTAGAATCATAGTTCACACGATAGTAGCCTTTAAAATAAAATAAATAACTATTACTAAAGTAAAAATACCTTCTCTCAAAATGTATAATCTATCACCTTAAAATACAATACTTTCAATAAATTTTGACATATGAGTCGAATTGAATTGTATGTCATTTCAAGTCAAAATAATTAATTTCTTTAATAAAATTTTTAGATATTAATAAATAAATAAACCATCAAAGTAAATTTAATAATATCTTAGGATAATGTAAAGTGATCGGAAAGCAAACCAAAAATGCAATAACATATATTGCATTCTATTTAAAAATAATAATCCCGATCCACTCACACTTTTTTGAGCTACCCTGTAGAAGTTAAAATATTTTCATGAAATACATCCTAGTGCATACTATAGGTATGCACTTATGCAAAATTCCTAAGTTTTTTATTATAGGAGCTACAGATGATTAAACACCTAAAATTCCGATTCTATCGTAATAAATCAAAGGCTTTTGTTGAAAAAGTCCCGTGAAAAGCATCGTTGGCTTCGACTATTAGGCCAGTGCAAATAATTTTAAATTTGCAAAAATTTTTAGAAAGCTGCGACCATTGAAAATAGTTAGCCTTAGTAACCCTTATTAACATACTAAAGGTCCCCATTTGTCCGATGTGTGCGCCATCAAAAAAAATCGGCCGTAATCTTGAATTTTGGTACTTTTTGGGAAAAAATATAAATAACTCGAAAACGGAGCGTTATAGCGAAAAACTTCAAAAGGTAAAAATTAAAGAGAATAAAAAACTCTATCAGAATCAATAAAGAATAGTTTATTATCTTAACGCAGTGACGTACAAATTTTTTTTGAAAATCGAGCAATTTTTAAAAGGAATCACCGAAATGCAAATTACTATTTTTTTAAGCTAATTAACAAATAACATGGATATTTAGCATCAATTCAACTGAAATACAGTCCTTGTGACATTTTCAAGAAATATTTATTGGTGGTTTAATAATATTTCAAAATTAACAAAAATTGTCAAAGCTATCCTTTACTAAATACATATGTACTAGTAATGTGCGAAAGCAGTCTCCACCTTGTCCCGGTCGGGGCTATTTGCACTTAAACCAAGGTCTTTTTGTTACCATTTTGTAGACAACTTGTTTATAAAAATACAGTGACAGTTTGAAAAATTAGGCTACAGGTTGGAAGAAAAAAATAAAATGTTATAAACTACTTGCGAACCTTTTTGTCATAAATATCATCTACGATGTTAACCTAAGATCTTAACACTTTTTCATTATGATAAATACATTATAAACATACTCCTACAAATCGAATAACAATAATTCAAATTATGACCATTTTAATAAAAATGTGTTACCAACTTGTAACCTAACTTTTCAAACCGTCATCTCTAGAAAAAAAAATGAAATTTACAATTTTATTCGATTCGTTCTTCATCGACCGATATTTGTTTGTTCTCGCAAGAAATATCATTACAGTTACCACACAAGCATGAACATGGCATATTGGATTTTAAACATGTATCATTGCGATTAAAAAAAATAGTACAACAAAATATGATTTAATCTGCTGGTCTATATTCTTGTGTCAGTGTCACGTAATTTTTAAAAAATACCTTTAACTTCAGAGCAAAAATCGATTATATTTACGCGATTAAGGGATGGGGTTCCCATAAGGGACATTGCAGATGCATTAGGGATAAACAAAAAAAAACAGTGTTGTTGGCTAAATCCAAAAAAAAAATTCAATATAATTCAAATATCCTTATAGACCAGGAGTTCCATCTGGGACTACTAATTCTTGTACTACTTTTTTTTTATCGCAATGGTACATAGTTTATTACATCCAGATTTGCAATTACAGTAAATCATTTTCAATACAAATTCTGGTGCCACTGCGTTTGACATTGTTTTTGGAACTAAGGTATCCGTTTTTTTACTCCGTCCACATTATGTTGCCTCTTCTCCGTTATTTAGCCAATACTGCATTTATAAGTAGGTTCTATAATAATGATTTTCAGCTGCGTTAGTTGTTGGAGGTAAGGTAGCTAAATCAAAATTTTTACTGTAAGTACCTGACGAAATGTAAGGGCTTTATATTTAAAATACCTCAACTGATCTAAATCTTCTTCTAGCCTATGTCGACCATATAATGAAAATAAGAATGTATTTTCAGCTTTGACTAGCTTAGATTTTTGTGCTGCAGGATCTAAAAAAAAACGGATGTAATTTGTCGCAGATGAGGATCTGTTTGCAACGATTTGAAAGTCGCCAGTTTACACATTACATTTTATTTTTTTCTTCCAACCTGTTGCCTAATTTTTTAAACTGTCACTGTATTATAATGTTTATTAAAAACAAGTTATAAAATGGTAACAATAAGACCTTGGTTTAAATACAAATAGCCCCGACCGGGACAAGGTGGGGACTGCTTTCGTACATTATTAGTACACATGTATTTAGTAAAGGATAGCTTTTACAATTTTTGTTAATTTTGAAATATTATTAACCCACCAATAAAAAATATTTCTTGAAAATGTCACAAGGGTTGTATTTCAGTTGAATCGATGCTAAATATCCATGTTATTTGTTAATAAGCTTAAAAAATTAGTAATTTGCATTTCGGTGATTCCTTTTAAAAATTGCTCGATTTTAATTTTTTTTTTGTACGTCATTGCGTTAGGATAATAAACTATTTTTTATTGATTCTAATAGAGTCTTTTATTCTCTTTAATTTTTACCTCTTAAAGTTTTTCGCTATAACAAACCGTTTTCGAGTTATTTACATTTTTTCCCAAAAAGTACCAAAATTCAAGATGGCGGCCGATTTTTCTTGATGACGCATATATCGGACAAATGGGGACTTTTAGTATGTTAATAAGGGTTACTAAGGCTAACTATTTTCAATGGTCGCAGCTTTCTAAAATGTTTTGCAATTTCAACATGGTAAATGTCATAACTGCACTGTGGTATATGCGGTTTCACCGAATCGCTGAGCGCTCACTGTCGCGTCGCGCGTCGTGACAATTTCCCAAGTAGGCTGAGACTAGACTGCGCGCGGTCGCCATGACAACTGTCACAAGAAATAACTTTATTTTGTTTTAACAGACATGTGAAAATATCTTATTAGAAAAGTTAGATTTTGTACTCGGGTTGCGTATTATAATATTCTTTAACAATTACTAATGACTGTTGTGGTTTTAAACATGGTGTAATGTGTTTTATTGTTGTTGGGTGATTTTTCCTGAATATTTAATGTAAGTACAATATATTTTGATGTTTATAAGAGGGATAATATTCATATTTTGCATGTTATTTTGTAAAATATTTTGAGTAAATCAATCAATGCATGTATTGCGAATCTGTATAATACACGGAATAACTCAATTTAGCCTAAAATTGGAGATACCACTTTTAAGCCAAGCACGGCAGTATACTGGTCCTATATATGTAGAGAGGTAAAAAATCATTTGGTTAGTTTTTATTAGGGTTTTGATTAAAGGCATTATTATAAATCAGTTCTTACAAATTAAGTGGGTTAAGTTTTTTCTCATTGTGCTTTAAATATTAACTATCTACAGTTAGAGAAAATCTATTGCAATTTTGTATACAGGGTGGCGATAGTGCGTCGGGCATTTGTAGCTCCTAGAATAAAAAACTTGGGAATTTTGTTTAAGTGCAAACCTAAAGTAAAAATATTTTAACTTCTATGGGGTGGCTCAAAAAAGTGTGAGCGGATCGGATGATTTTTTTTAATAGAACAACCCTGTATATTATTGCATTTTGGACTCCTTTCAGATCACTTTACGGTAATACTAAGATATGAGTAAATTTTGTTTCAGAGATATTAATAAATAAATAAAAAATATATATTTTTCAGCCTTTCTTGAAAAAATTATTAAAAATACACGACCTGTCCTAAAACTAAAACTATATTAGGTATTTACTTTGGATGTTCTGTACCTACTTTGCTATAAATATGGTAATCGTAAATTATACAGGATGTTCAAAATTCTACGCCAAACTTTCTAAAATATAAAATAATTTTCTTCGTTTTTATAAATGGAATCCTGTATATTATTTCTTCAATAGATGAAGAGTTAAAAAATGAACATTTTTTGTATTTAGATTATTTCCAAATTTTTAATGGTTTCGCAGATATTTGCTATTTTATATTTCATATAGCATTTTCCACAGTAAATTTTTATCAAAGCCACCCAATGATTTTTCTCTCGTAGTTTATCGTTGAAAGAGCCATATGAAATAATACTGCGTGTATCTGCGAAACAATTAAAAATTTTGAAATACTTTAAGTACAAAAAATGTTAATTTTTTAACTCTCCATCTAATAAAAAAATAATATACACGGCGCACAGTGGGGCCGATTGCCATTTTTGCGGCCAGAACCTTATAAAACAGAAGTTGCTTTTTCAAAAAGTTTTGATGACCATAGAATACAGAAAAGACCGAAATATTATATTATGCATAGAAAAAAATTTTGGACGCAGATCTGTAACCAGTGAAGGGCAGTAATGTCGAAGGTTTAATTCTACCGTGTATAATAATTGCAATTTGTAGGGCCCGAATAATAAGTAAAATTTCTTGGTTAATTTTTAAATACAATTAATTTTTTGCATTTTTTATAAAAGTACAATACTACTTGACTATTTCTAGCTATATTTTGAAAAAAAAACTTTTTCACTGATGCATACTAAATTTAATTAATAAATTAGTATAATATAAAAAATAAAATATGCTATTTAACCTTGAGTTTTGTTGAGTGCCCAAAGTTGCCCAATTTATTGGCTGATGTTTTTTGAAAGATTGGACATTACCCTTCATGTATTTGTTACCATCTTGCGCAACTTTGCGCAACTTTAAAAAAAATATTTTTAAATGTAAGTATATCCCTGGTACTTTGAGTAATAGATACTATAGGTCTTTATGATTTATTTAGATTAACTTCGTGTGATTTTAATAAAATCTGATACTCATGAATCGCCTGTAATCAAGCACATAGTTAGGAGGTCCAAGAGTCCTAGACCCTTCAGTCCCACCCCACCTCAAATCTACAAATTTTGTAGGTTTTAACTGAATTAATGCTTAGATCGAGGCCTAGATAATATACAATGTCCTCACTCCTTTTTTATCTTTTTAATGGAACAACATGGAGATTTGAAGTAAGGCAAGATGTTTAAAAATATTACGTTTTAGTCTAAATAGAGTCTAAAATTCATATAGTTAAAATCCGCACGTAAATTCAAACTATGATATGTACTAAAATAATGAACCGATTTTAAAAATTTAAGCATTTAAACAAATTATTTTTAAACACATTACATTACGCTAAATTTAAAACCTTTTAGTTGCTCCAATCCAAAAATAGAAGGAGAAAAAAAAAATTCCGGCACCCAAAACCACCCTTCCCCCGAAATGGTTATTAAAACTTTTAGAACCCCCTCATCATCCGAAATTAATTTTTAGATGCTTGCCTGTAATAGGTACTCGAAAAATCTAGTCCATACTTTCTTGATTACGTGCCGACTACTCATTTTGAGACATGTGAGACCACGATTGAAAATAATTATTTTTTTACTTCTTCAAAACCGAGTTCAAAACTAGAATCCAAAAACAATATTTATTTTTTTATCAAAGTTGTTGGTTACATACGGATAAAAAAATATATCAAACAGACCGATAAACAGATAGACAGACACACAGATATGCCACAAGACAACAATATTCGAAATGGCTTGCAAGGCAAAAGTGTAAAAGTTTTGTCATCCGGGTATTTTTTCTCACATTATATTGATGATCTAATATGCTGGGTATATACGTACGTGAACTATAATATAATTAACTAAAATTTTAAAGATTGACTACCTAGAAATTCAATTAAGCAAAAACTGTTAAATTCTATATATTTTTGGTTGATTCATATATCGTTGAAGGTTTTGGCCAACGATTCTTCAATCGGCCCCACCGTGCGGCGTTGACAGACATATTATTGCCGGACCCTGTATTTTTTCAGTTTAGGTAAAACGATAGTTAGTAGTTAAAGGGTGCATTGGCTCTCAATTATTACAATAAGTTTCTTGTTTACCATAAATAAGTATCTGTAAACCTTTTAAAACTATTTTTACCTGTTTGAAGATTATTTATAACTATCCAAGAGTCATTAGGGGATATTTGAAAAGACAGTACACTGTTGGGTGGAAGCCACAATGCTGGTGTTGTGTCAGTGAATGTAGAAGTATCTGCTGATGTAGTGTAAGTAATAGGTACGTACCAGGTCACTTCTGAAGTAACATTACTATCGTACACAAACCGTTTCTAAAAAACGTAAAAATGATCTAATAATATTAAAAGAAAAATTCAAATATTTATTATTTTTGTTAAACAAGTTACAATTAAAATTATGTCTATACCTAAAGAAAGCTAAATTGTTCTAGAATAGTTGTATTTATTTTTTTTTCTGTTCTTCGTATTTTTTTGCATCTGGCAACGAGAGGAAGTATACCTCCTGAAACTAAGCATTTTTTGTCGATGAGGCAAATTTGAGTTATTAGAAAAATACCACTATGAGAAATTGGTCTCCGTGGGATAAACGCAGTGGTGTTTACAAAAAATAATTTTATTATTTAGTAGATTTTTTCTTATGGTGAAAAATCTAGAATCTTTTCAAGAAATTACAATTTTTTAAACCAAATAATCTTAGAAAGAGTCAATTAAATTCAAATAAAAAAATAAATGTTTATGTTGCAATTATTTTTCTACAGGTGGAAATCTTCTGAATTTAGTTAGTAGAATTAATAGGTATTAATAGTTCTCTTGAGAGTCAATTTCACTAGTCCGAAAAAGTAGCAAAATAAGCGTTCGGCATTTAACGTTTTATGTAAAGCTGGCTAGATATTTTTACACTAATGAAGAAGGAAATTAAAGATAAAGGATTATACTATATTCGTATATTAGCACTTTTTTAAAAACTTCTTTATTTTTAAGATTTTAATGGTCAAACATCAACAAAATATTCCTTATGTTTGGACTAAATTTTCTCGAAAATAAAGACATAATTTAAAATTCCGTTACAATACGGATATAGATTGAAGTCTTGTGATTACAGTGATATATAATTTATGTATATGGTTTTGTAACAAATTGCTCGGTATTTTATGGAAAATGCCTAATATTAAGATTTAATAAGTAAAAAATGCCTTAAGTACCGAACAGTACAGCGTTATAGACTCTTAATCTTGTATTCTTCTTGTTAGAACCATTTCTTCTTTTCCAATCTTCTTGTTTTTCATTGATAAAGTGTATGTAATATAAAATATCATATTTTATGTTGTTGAGCCACTATTTCTTGATATTTTATGTTTTGAGCCATTATTTCATGATAAAATATGAAAAATTGTTACAGTATAACATAAAACATAAAGATGATCAATTATTATTACCTGTGTTATTCTAATCTCTGTTCCATTCAAACTGACATCCAGTACAGGATACCCTGGATAATATACCCAGTTATGTAGAAGAGTAGTCAAATTTGCTGGTGCAGCATTTATGGTACTATTAAGAGCAAGTGTATCCCACAGGTCTTCTGGTTCTACAGATCCATAAGCACTAACACGGAAAAAATTCTTAGTAATAATAGTATTGGTATTACAAAAATGTCGCTTTCTTTTTAAATATGAACATGCCACAAGCTACAAAATATCGACCTGTATAGAAAAGGCTGATTTTTTAGATATAGCAATATCTATAACTATTTAATCGCAACTATTTATATATTTTTTTATTAAAAAAATACCTGAAATAGAAATAGAAAATAGTGGAATAATATATATGTTTGGAACAACTAATACAAAGCGAGAAACAACGGCGAATGCAGATTCTGTGGGGAATATGGGGAAACACCAGAACACCTCATCACTGAGTGCGCCGAGACGACGGCCATTCGTGCCATGAACTTTGGTACGGCTGATGTCAAGGATGGAGAGCTGGCCTCTATGGAGCCGTCTCAGATACTGGCTTTTGTTAAAGCATTGAGACTGTATGATGAGTTATAACTGGTTATAGCTCAAGAAAGGGGAATACACAATAGATCTTTAAGGTCGCGGTGACTAACTCCCCTCCAAAACATTCTACATTCTACAACAGCTAATACACAGCTCAGGATCTCAACTACCAGAAATCTGCAGAAAAATTAAGTTTGCCATGGAGTACAACTCAAATCTAGAATGCCACTTTATCTAAAGAAGAAAACATTCGACCAATGTGTACTACCAGTCATGACCTATGCTTGTAAATACAATAGACAACAATGGGACCAATTACAGAGAGATTATCTAAATATGATAATAATTGTAAATGGTTGAATACACTGAAAATGAAAAATATTTAAATATATATTTACTAAATCAACTTAGTAGTTAGTAGAAGCCATATTCAGCCTTCAAACATTAGTGCAGAATTGCCAAGATCAGAGAAAAGATGTCTTCATGTGCTTTATAGACTAAGAAAAGGCGTTCGATAATGTTAAACCTAACCTCCTTATATCATACCTCAGAGCACAGAATATCTAGCTACGCAACAGAAGCCTCGTTACATGTATAAAACTGTAGGTAGCAAAAGGAGACAGGCTTTTAAAGTCTGTCTCCAAACCAGATATTTTGAGGCGGTAGTTTCGCTACTACGTAATAGAGGGCAATACATTTAAAAGAAAACAGTTTTCTACAAACAAAATTTAAAAGAATTTTGTGCACTGTTGCCATTGTGTAATTCATATTGTAATACTTCCTGATAAAGCATACCTTCAAATTTGTTACATCAGTTAAACATATTAAAATAGATCAGGGCTCTTTTTTCAAACGTTTAAGTATTTAATTTGCCATGTCAGTTGGAATTAGATCTTACGAGCTGAATTACAATCACTTCCTGACGTTTGATTGTGTAATTGAATCCTAAATTCTGATTGTAATTCGGCGACAATATAATAAGTATTGTTCTACTATTATGATACCACTTTCTGACGTTCGATTGTGTTCATACCGTATAATCGGGAAAAACGGCGTTAGCGATGGCTATGAAATGAAGATCGCTGTCATTTTATGTGTAAATTTATTTGGGAAATGTCATCAATCGTCCTTTTCCAGCTAATTGCACGCCGTTTTTTTCGGTATCATACGGTATTTGATATATTTATACTTGCGTATTATTCATGACATTACAATATTATGGTACCATGCAGCATATCAAGTGGCAACATAATATAGTACCACACTACATACATGGCGTTTGATTGGGCTTAAAGTTGGTTACGTATCTTCGGTGACATTGTAATATGATGGTACTATGATGCATATAAAGTGGTACCTTAATATAGTACCATATTTCAATACCATTTCCTGGCGTTAGATTGATCTCATATTTGATATATACTTGCGTATTTTTAATGACATTGCATTATTATGGTACCATGAAGCATATCAACTGGTACCATAATATAGTAATATAGTACCATATTACGTACATGGCGTTCGATTGGGCTTAAACTTGGGATACTACGTATCTTCGGTGACATTATAATATTATGATACCATGGAGCATATGAAGAGGTACCATAATGTAGTACCATATTACGAGTAGTACCATATTACGAGATTGTAGTACCATTTTCTGGCGTTAGATTGGGCTTAAACGTATCTTCGGTTACATTGTAATATGATGGTACTATGATGCATATAAAGTAGTACCTTAATATAGTACCATATTACGCTACCATTTCCTGGCGTTCGATTGTGCTTAAATTTGGTATACTTCGGATCTTCGGTGACATTGCAATATTATGGTACCTTAAAGCATATCGATTGATATCATTTCCTGGAGTTCGATTGGGCCCAAATTTGGTATATGGTATACTTGCGTTTCTTTATAAATATTTGTTTAATTAATAATTTTAATTTATTTTACGAATTTTAATTTATTTTCCGATGTCGTGACAGCAACTTTTATGCCGAACTAATATATTATTAATTGTACCTGTGTCACTTTTTAAAATCTATCTAGGTCTATATAAATAACGTGGCAAACAGAAGATTTTGTTATTATAGTATTTTAGTCAATTAACATTTTTTGTACTGCATTTTAATAAATTATTTCCCTTATTATTAAACTTATGTTTCATTACTAACGTTCCAGCATTAATAAATATCACTATCAATCGCCCTGTATATTATTAATTTTAAAGGTAATTAAAGGTATTTTCTTAGTTAACATTATAAGGTAGTATATATTAAAAATGTATATGTTTTGTAATAATATACTTAAAACTATTTTAAAAGTCATACGAATAATTAATATAAGTGTATCTGACAAGAAAAGAAGAATAGAAAGAAATTATTATACACAAGAAAAAGAACGGGATGCCAAGTAAAGTATTTTAGAATCTGGCAACTGTGCATATTTAGACGACCTACAAGGCCGTCGACGAGCCGTCGATCCATAACCGAAAGTTCAAAATTTCCAATTATATTCTGATTATGATATTGTCGCGCCATCTAGTACTCTATTTGTGCAATTTTAGCTCTTTCATTTCGAGTATTTTTCTGTTGCGTAGCTAGATATTCTGTGCTCAGAGTCTTGGGACTTGATGGAAAGGATATAAGGCTCATTAGTAATTTGTATTGAAACCAAAAAGCTGAAATTCGTATACATAGCGTGGAAGTAACTGAAGATTTTGAAATAAAAAGGGGGTAAGGCAAGGGTGTATTCTGTCTCCAATCTTGTTCAATTTATATGTGGAACGAGCATTCACTGATTCAATCTCCGATAGTCCCATTGGTTTGAAAATAAATGGCATTCCAATTAATAATATCCGATATGCGGATGACACAGTGATATTGGCAGACAATGCAAATGATCTCCAAATCCTTCTAAATAAGGCTAACAATGAAAGCCAAAGACTGGGTGTAACATAAATACTACAAAAACTAAATTTATGGCTATTAGCAGAAACAACATTGCGAACACCAGAATTTACTTAAATGGAGAGGTCATCAAGCAGGTCACACAATTTAAATATTTGGGATGCATGGCTAACGAAACGTGGAATCCAGATGAAAACACTCTCAGAAAAGCTGGTTTGGTTTGGAAATCATCAAGAAGAGGATTAATAGTCTATTTGGGACACCTACTACGTGGAGAATGCTATCACTTCCACCATCTGATTCTCCAGGGTAAAATAGAAGGGGCAAAAGGGGAATAGGCCTGGCTGAGAAATATTCGTCATTGGACAGGCATACAGGACTTCCAAGCACTCCAAGTCGCTGCAATTAATAGAACCATCTGTCCATCTGATGAGGAAGAAAAAGATGAACGCCTACGCAGGAATCTGCACGGCACCTTAAGAAGAAATCAACTTACAATTGATTGAGATATGTGTTTAATCCACTTTTCCAAGTTTCTGTTCCTAAAATCTTCTCCACCATCCTCAACACACTTCCTCCTTTATTGTATGTAATGCTTCCAAACTTAGATGATATCTGAGCTGGACTAGAAGCATTCGCTCTGAGTGACTCAGTAGTAGAAGCATCTTCTTCAAATATAGAATGAACTGTCTGAATAACAAATTGTTTGTCCATATCATACCCAGGTAGAATCTAAAAAGTACAGTAAATGTAACAATGGTAACAAAGAGTAATATTAAAAAAATAATAATAATTGTTTTATATTACACCCTGTATATTAATATACTAAATTAAGTATTTTAGCAACATAATAATAATAACAATAACAAAAATAACAAACGCTTTATTGTGCAAAAAGCCAAAACAGCTTCATCGACAAAGCACTCACAAACAACAAAATCACAAAAAAATACAAACAACAAAAAATACACAATACAAATAATACAATTCAAAAAAATTTAAGTCTTTAAAATTACAAAAAGAATATACATGGACAATTTTAGAACAGTACGCAGTAAATAGATATAATTTTAAAGTTATAGAATATTAAATACTTTTGACCTTTCACCAGTGTGTGAGATGATCAAAATTTTGAAATTCAAAATTGTTCATAATTAAACATCAACAAAAAAGTCGTTTACCGCATATAGGGCTCTCTCCAGTAGGTATGATTTTAGAGCCTTGCGAAATGCGGGAAAGAATGAAAGCGATTTGACATTCAAAGGCAGATGATTGTACATTTTTTTGGCATTGTACAGTATTGAACCCTTAACTAGTTCTGAGCTCGGGGTTGGCAGATAAAGATCGTGCTCTGCATTCCTAAGTGGATAGTTATGAAATGGCCTTTCGGGAATAGCAGATATGTGCTTGCGGATTAAGCAAACGGATTCAAAAATGAATAAAGAAGGAAGAGTCAGTATTTTCAAATTTTTAAAGAAATTCTGGCAGGGAGTTCTACTGTTCAGCCCCAATAAATATAGAATTGCTCTCTTCTGAAGTATGAAAACACGATCAAATTTTGTTGCGCAGCAAGTACCCCAGAATGGAAGGGCATAACGAAGATGTGACTCAAAAAGGGCATAATAGGCTATTCTAGAGGTTGAGAAGTTAAGTTCCTTAGAAACTGATCTTAGCGCAAAACAGGCAGCGCTTAGTTTCTTTGATAGAGCTTCAATGTGAAAGTCCCATTTTAACGAGTTGTCTACAAGAAGTCCTATGAATTTCACAGAGTCCACGACGTCAATAGTAGTGTTATTAAGTACAAAAGGTTGTATAGTACTTTTATATGACAAAACTTTAGTTTTTGATAGGTTGAGGCATAGGAGATTAGAATCGCAACAAGACTTAATGGTGCGTAAGTCACTGGATATAGTATTATATAGCGCCGCAACATCTGGGCCGCTCCAAGTGAAACTAGTATCGTCCGCAAAGAGGCAGATTTTACCGCTAATGTCTAGATTTGCAATGTCGTTGATAAACACCAGAAACAAAATAGGGCCAAGTACTGAACCCTGAGGGACACCACATTCTATAGGCTTACAAGAAGACATAGACGTATCAATCCTCACAAGCTGCCTTCTGTTGCCAAGATATGACTTAAGCCATTCGAGCGGCACTCCCCTGAAACCATAGTATTGCAATTTGTTAATTAAGATATTATGATTTACACAATCAAAAGCCTTAGAGAAATCACAGAAAATTGTAGCTGTAGAGTGATGGTTATACAGGCTAGAGCATACATTATTAAAAAGGTCGAACATAGCATCATTTGTGCAACTGTTACTTAGAAATCCAAATTGATGGGTAGTAAGTATTTTATATTTAAGGAGAAAAGATAGAAACCTTTTTTAACCAATCTTTCAATGATCTTAGATAATGTGGGCAGGAGTGCAATTGGGCGATAGTTCGAAGCTTCATCTTTATCACCTCCTTTATACAGAGGAATAATTATTGCTGTCTTAAGGCAGTTTGGAAAAACTCCTTTTTGGAATGACTCGTTAATTAAAGTAGTAAGATGGTTTAATGTGCATTCAGGAAGTTCCATAATATATAACATTTTTGATGTTCTTTTTTTATATTATGTATTTACAAAGAAATATTATTCAATCTCTGTATTATTAAAAAAACTCTTTGTGTAATTTTTTCTTATAATTATGCTGTAATATTTTATTCTTGAATAAGTTGATGAATATTCTGAGAAAGTTTTAATTAAAAATAAAATAAATATTTACTTGTTACAAGATCCGCAGTGATTAAGTTTGGAAGACAAAAACAATTTATTATTTTTATTTTGTTCTTTTCCAAAAGGTCAGCCTGGCATCAGAAATATCAATTAATCTTTGGTAAAAGCCATAAAAAATTAAAAATTTAATTTAGGTATTTTTTATTATAGTTTGTGGGAGTAAAAATAATGTCAAATATTGATATTTTTTTGATTGAGTTGAACGATTTCTTTATCTCCATTTTCAACACGCGCAAAATGAGAACTGCTTAATTACGATATACAGGGTGTTTCGAAAAACATGTGCCATCTCTCGTGGGTACATTCCTCACGTAAAAAATAAGATTGGTTTTTCATATCAACATAGGTCCGATTCTGCTTTGTTTCGTAGCTACAGGGTGTTGGGTAAAGTCTTAATATTTTTTCTTCCAAGTACCTTTAACGTTTCAAATGAAATTTTGAGGGTAGAAGTGACTATAAATGCGACATATTTTAAAGGTAAAAAAGTGTCGACATATATTATTCACCAGGGACGTGCATATGGGTTTATCACTGGAATATTTTTCTAAAAAAAACGCATGTACGCCACTGATTATTTTTTCACTTATTAGCGAAATAGTGTAAACAGTTTAACGCCGATTAAAAGTTGTTTGTTGATATTTTGTCGACTTCGGCCTCCTTGATGAGATAAACGCAATTTTATTACTTTGCTTTGATCCAAGTCTAATAGCAACCTTTAAAAAAGTTTAATATCATTAACTTGCGAAAGTTTTAAATAAGTACTCATTGATTCCTCATCAAAAAATATAAACAAAAGTTCCTGTAAACATGGGTATGGAAATGCATAGTTTCAGAGTTACAGGATGTTAAAACTTTTTAAAATTGTTTTTTTTTTGTTTTTGTAATTATTTATTTGAAATTGATGTAGGTTGAACTAATAATAATAGTAACAATAACTAATAGTAATAATATTTAATAGTAAATGAGGTAAAATATACAATTTTATTAATTTTATTTTAATTTTATAATTATTGTGATTAATAAAATTGCGTTTATCTCATCAAGGAGGCCGAATTCGACTAAATAACAAGAGATAACTTTTAATTGGCATTAAACGGCCAATTTTGATATCAAAATAAAAAAGTCAGTGGCGCACATCATTTTTTTTTGAAAAATATTACAGTGATAACCCATATGCACGTCCCTGATGAATTTATCAACACTTTTATAGCATTAAAATATGTAGCACTTATAGTAACTTTTACCCTCAAAATTTCATTCGAATCACTAAAAGTACTTGGAAGAAAATTATCAAAAAATCGACAGATTATTAAGACTTTAACACCCTGTAGATACGATACAAAACAGAATCGGACCTATGTTAATATGAAAAATAAATTTATTATTTTTACATGAGGAATCTCCCCACGAGAGTTGGCACATGTTTTTTGAAACACCCTGTATATTTTATGAAAAATCCGCTGAACAAAAAAGTATATAGGTAGCTAAAAAAATAAGTCAAAATCTCAAACAGATTTTTCAGAATAATGGATCACCCTGTATAAATATATTGTTAATTTTTCAACTTTCTAACTGTTAGTTTTTTAATCAAAATTCTATAATCCATAAGATCGAAAAAAAGCGACATCAAAAAGATCCTTTTTTAATCTTTCTATAATCACTATAATCAGTGTTAATTTTTGACAAGTTTGCTGTTATTTTTCTTTCTCCAGCCGTCTTTGACGCCGTTTTTTTTTCGATCATACTGTACTTACTTCATGTGCAATGAAATACTCTAACAGCGTAGCCATGCCTTCGTTCAAAAAGATTTCAGACCACCATTTGCAGGTGACCAAGTTACCGAACCACTGATGAGCAAGTTCGTGAGCAACGAGATTGGCAATGTATTCTTTGTATGAGTTGGAAGTTTCTTCTTCGTCATATAATAAAGCTTTTTCCCTAAAAATAAAATACAGCTCAAGAAAAGTATAGGTCTACTATTAACTTAGACTATCACAGAAAGGCCTAGAACTAAATAATAAGGCTGGATAGAACACACTAGAGATGGGTAGATCCCATGGTATTTTAGGTCCAGAGTTACATCAAACTTTGTGAACCTACATTCAGGTTCCAATTCTGTCGAATTTATATCATTCTAATCTTTAATTTTAATTTGACTAAATTTTGTTTTGCGTAAAGTAATCCACGTTCAAAAGTTTTGTAGTCCGTCAAGGAAATTTGCCAAATCCTTATCATGTATTGTCTCTGCGGCAAAGCATTACAAACTTGACATATTAATAAAACATAGTCAAGACACAATTACAGCTTTTCATCGAGACTGCTGCATACATTGTCAAAAGTGCTAATAAAGCTATATTTTATATTTATTAAAAATATAAATATTCATTCACTAGCTTATAAAATATACAGGGTGTCCCAGAAATAAGTGCAAATATTTTAACTGGTAGTATAGTTCAACCCCACAAACACGCCTATGAGGTTTTTTTGCGAAAAAAAATGTTGAAAATTTAAAATTTTTCTTGACAATTTCCGGGAAATTAGAAAAAACTTTTTAGTGCTACTTGTTTATTCACCTGAGATTTCCCTACAGTGTATCTAAACCTTGCAGTGTTGCAACCTCCTATGTTATCGACATTCTACATAGTTCGGCGGAACATAGTTCTACATTTATAAATTCATAGACAAATGTCTACTCAAAAACTTAGGAATGTTAAATTTAATCTTTTATCAGTGCTCATTATTAATAATTATAGAAAAAAAACACATATTAATTATTTTTAGTACTTACCCTTTCAATGAAAACTTAACAAAAACCACCGAAAATTAACTGAAACATTACGTTTATGACGTTTACGAAAATCTTTGTTATGCTGCAAAATAACTTTATTTCGGAATAAATTTAATAAAATGATTAATATTATTCACAATCAGGTCACAAAAAAGAAATTCCTAAACTGGTTATCGTAATTTAGAATTCAATTCAAGAAATTTAGAAAACAGCCCAAAGAATAATCGATTCATTTTTGTTTTGTTTGTTTTCTTTCATGTTTCTCTGTTTTATTTGAACCACTGTTTTACAAAACACCTTGAAAAGCGCATATTACTTTGAATACCTTTCTGAATGAATAAATGTGGAGAATTATTGTCTCTTATCGCCACTTTACGAACTACTTTCAATCTAAAAAAATACATGTTTCACTCAACAATTTAAATATAATAGGTATTTAGTTTTTTCGCTATTTTTTCGATGTATTTCGACAATTCCATCAACAGCCTAACCTTCAGCAAAGAGCGCCGTGTGTGAAGTGAACTGGTCCTTTGAGCCGCCGGCCGCCGCGCCGTCGTGGCGGGCTTGCGTCAGACGACGATGTTAAGCAACGTTGCCGTAATTACAACAATTTTAAATTCAAGACATTCGAAGCAATCAAATTCATATTAAATTTTAAAAATAAAACAGAGAAACGTGAAAGGAAACAAGCAAAACAAAAATAAATTGATTATTCGTCGGGCTGTTTTCGATGTATTGAATTCTGAATTACGATAAACATTTTAGAAATTTCTTTTTTGTGACCTTATCAATAACCAATTCATTTGTGTTTTGTTTGTTTCCTTTCATGTTTTTCTGTTTTATTAAAATTTAATAAGAATTTGATTGCTTCGAGTGTCTTGAATTTGAAATTGTTGAAACTACGGCAACCTCGCATGAAGCAAGCTCGACACGGCGGCGCGACAAAGGAGCAGTTACCAGTGATGCGTGGGTCTCTTGGCCGACGCGACGGTTGCGCTGTCGATGGAATTGTTGAAATACATAGAAAAAATAGCGAAAAAACAAAATACGTATTTAAAATTGTTGAGTGAAACATATATTTTCTTAAATTGAAAGTAGTTCAGAAAGTGGCGGTAAGAGGTAATAATTCTCAACATTTATTCATTCAGATTCAGAAAGGTATTCAAAGTAATGTGTGCTTTTCAAGTTGTTTTGTAAATCAGTGGTTCAAATTGTGATGAGGCCTATATGAAAATAATGTGTTAAAAATGGGGACTGTTATTTTAGTAGTTATTATAATAGCATGTACAAGTGCTAGCACAGTGAAGTGTATTTTAGTTAAGTGTATATCGAAAAAGAGAACTGCCACAGTTACATCGATCTGTCATAAGTATCTTTTTTAATGTTGGGTAAGTTTTTTAATTTAACTTTTTTAACACATTATTAAACATTTAACTTTTAATTTAATGTAATAATATCACAATCTTAAAAATGTAATGCATCTCTGCAAACTCCTCAGGTGTTGTGATTTTATGACTTACTTTTAACATATACTTTCTTGTCCCTATGGCAACACAGTGCGTCGAATTAACTGAAATCCGGGCTTGATCCGGGTAATTGGATGTAGTTGGCGATATCTGCCGGCGGTTCTCAAAATGTTGCGATTATTTTTTTAAATTTTCAAAGTTAAATAACTCGGTGATTTTCAATTTATTTTAAAAATGGTAAAGAGAAAATATGTTTATTTTGACAAGATCTACCACCCCTTAAAATATCTTCACTCATTTCTGGGACACCCTGTATAACTTAATTTTGTTTAAATAGAGAAGTATATGTACCTGTTCTTCCAATATATTTAAAAAGAAAGGTCTTTAATCAGTGTGTCTTGCCTGTCCTCACGTATGGAGCTGAAACACTTACTTTGACAAAAAAGAACATACATAGAATGGAGGTTATGCAACGGAAATGAAAAGGTCCATGTTGGGAGTTACACTTAAGGATAAAATACCCAATCATACCATGTGATATCTGTCTTGCATCTTAAATGGAATTGGGCAGGACATGTTACTAGGATGACAGATGTACGGTGGACAAAGAGACTTGTGAAATGGAGACCAAGACACGAGGCCTATAGAAGCAGAGGACGACCTCCTAGTCGATGGACAGATGATATTTAGAGAGTGGCTGGAAACTGGATTCAAGTGGCTCAAAATAGAAGGAAATCGCTAGAGTTGAGGGAGGCTTTTGTTCAGCAGTGGACAAAATAAGCTAAATGATGATGATGATATGTACCTGTATGTCACTATACCCCAGTTTTCCATTCCACTGAAAGATAAGTCAGTGACAGCAATCTGGTCTAGCTTATTCATTGATCTACTGTAGTTAATGCCTGTGTAACTATTAATACTATCGATAACCAACGGTGCGAGCTCAAGAGCCCAAGATCTAGTATCTGCAGTTTCATTTCTAGAACATACCTAAAAATCAACAGCACAATAAGAATGTTTATTTATTTTGCATTAATTTAAAGTTTTTAATATAATTAATTGATTCTAATTCGTTTTGCATTAAAGCTGCTTCTTATCCTTAAATACTATTTCCTTTTTGCTAATTCCATTTATACTTAAATTTAAGAGAAGTTGAAAAGAACTTATGCTGAGTATAGAATTCTTAATTTTCTTAAGAAACTAAACGAAAAGAACTTTAAGTTAACTTACGTTGAACTTACCTGATTGACTAGGCTGCCCTCTATGAGATCACCTTGAGAACACGTAAACTCGGAAACAATGAACGCTATCAAGTAGGTTGATATTTTTGGCGTTGTGTTAAAAGTTGTTGTAACCTCACTGAAAATATATTTCCATCAGTAAAATAAAAACAAAATTATATCTACCTTCTTTAAAATTCATGGGCAATTACAAAATGCCAAATAACGAGGTGCGGCGAAAAAAGGATTTTATTAAAAGATGTTTTAAGTTCTCACATAATAATATCCCTCTAGATTTAGCATTGATACCGTTTCTAGTGCATGAATAAATGGATATCATTATACACCTTCTTTAATATTTTTATTCAAAGATTTTTTCAGTATTTTTAATGCGAAAAACTTAAAAGAAATAAAAATACTTACGTATCAGTAATGTTGGTACTATTAGATATTTCTGCATTGGACAAGACATTCAAACCAACGGGGTAAGAAAGGGTGATGTCAAAGGTGGCTTTGTATCCAGTCTCGTCCAAACAAGGGAACGCCCTTCTAGCATACGTTGCTTGAAACTGAGTAATAATAAAATAATATGTCGTATTAGAGGAATCTGTATAGCTGCTCTTGTATATACCGTAAGTGTCTGTAGTACTGATTTTTCCATCTACCAAAAAAAGAAAGTTTAGAATTAAAATGTGACTAATAATTCCCATACTTACCAAAACCAATAGTAATAGTGTACGTCTGAGATTCGATAAGTGTTTCATTTACTTCAACTGTAAATATATCAGTTACAGAATCTACTGAATAATTACTAAAACTAATACTGTCTGATAGTGTAACAGAAGTAATATTAAGATACTCCGCACTAGCGTGCAACACTACACTGCTAGTGTTTTGTGTAGGTACAAAAGTTATTTCTGTCGTTCCATTGTAAGCACTTGCGTTTGCACTAGTGAAAATATCCGATGGGAACACTAAGTTGATATTGTAGGATGTAGGATTGATTGTGGTAGGTAGTCTGTATTCCTGGGCAATGGTCAGTGACAGCAATATGGGTAAAATCCATATAAATGTGGGCATTATAGAAAAATCTAAAAATATATAATTACAAATAAAGTTCAGTGATCACTTTTTGTTAAAATGGATATGATAAAAAGTATTTTTCAAAATAGAATCTAGTTAGATGTTAAATAATTATTTGTCAATCCAGAAGAAAACATTTATTTGCTACAAAGCAAAGAGCTTGAATTTTCTATGGTTCCAAACAAAAAAACAATATCTATGATTTACTGAATTTACCCCAAGTTAGAGAATCACCCTGTATTAAATACCTATGTAATCATAATCAACTAAAGTCTGTCCAATGAGCTAGGAAAGATTTCAAGAGAGGGCACCCAAAAAATGACAGAAATGACATTTTTGGCCTAGTTTTCATGAATCCGAATTTTGGCAGTTTTCTGCTAAAAACAGAGGTCATAGCACAGATAACATAATATATGTTATCTGTGTAGATAGTTCAAATTTAACGTTTTTTGTGCATTCCAATGTTTCCTTCTCATTGCAATTTTTCTTGTTTTTTAATTTTAAAAATTTCGTGCCATAATATTATTTTTCGCAGAAAACGTCCGATATTCAGATGCGTGAAAACTAGGCTTTACATGTAAAATAAAGTGACAGATAATAACTGTCATTTCCTCTTCTATCATTTATAAGAGCATATATTTACTTAATATTGTATATTAGACTTAATATTTACTTGCAGTCGAACATTGTTCTTTTTAGAACCTCTTTTAGTGCGAAGTGTACAAGCTAGCTTAATAGCCTTAAAAAACGCATCGCAACTTTATTAGAATATTTTGAAATCGGTAGTAATGGCCCTTTATGTCCCTTAAATGGTGTTAAGAAGGTGAGTTTTGTTGATGTAAATAATAACTGTTTATATAGTTAATTAATTTATTTTTGTTTCGTAAAATATTTTGATTAAAAGAAAATATGTAAAATTGGGCAACGCTGTGCCGGTCAAGCTTAATCACGTGACTAAAAGTTTATTTGATATGAACTATATAAAAGCCAGTAAAAATATGTTTTTAAGTTTGGTTATTACAAATATGGGAGATTTTATTGCATATTTATATACTATTGATTGATAATTTCCTCTAATAATTGTAATAATAGCATTAATTGATAAGATATAAGCACCAAATCAATATACTAAGATTTCCTAAAGGTATTTTCTAAAATAATAAAAAAATCGTAGAATATAACTAATAAACGTCGACATTTTACATGTAGTTGTAATCTTAGATTACCAAATAATTGTTAAATTTAATCTAAATACATTAATTACATTCACGAGTTTAACATCCAAAACCAAACTAAATTACAAATTTAAATGATAGCTGCTTTTTATTAATTCTTAAATAACGCTCTGTATATTTTATAAGATTTTTGAAATCTATATTAAATTATCCTACAGCGATTAGTCTAAGAAATGCTAGAGAATTTATTTTTGGAGAGTTCGAGAACGAACCGAATATGGAACTATAATCTCCAGAATTTATAATTACCGTAATGAAAATAGGTTGGAAAATTAATCAGTTGCTTTTTTAAAAGTTTATTCTAAATTTTCTCTTTATTTCTTATTATTCTCGAGAAAAATTGCAATTTTGAGAACATTTAGAATACAAAGAAGAAACAAATTAAGGACAAAAATTATTCAGAACACGTTATAGCTTTTTCTATGCATATTAATAGCAGTATATTATTGCAGAATAACTATCAATACTAAATATGGCAATTTGCAAATATAAACGGTTAATCAGTAGCTAAATCTATATAATAGAGGTATAATAATACTCTGGGGAATCCATAATTCCTAATTTCGACGACAAAGAATGAGTCCGTAATTTTCCCGGTGTTGTCGCTTGCTAAATGTGTATATAAATATGGTGTTATTACATATAAATACTATAGAGAAAATACTATTTTTGTAAAAAGCTTGTTATTTAAACTTAAAAATAAAGAATCGCTTTAAAAATGTAAAAAAATATTTATAGGCTGGTTTGTGTTTATAAGTTCTGGTTTGTGCTTTTACATGCTCGTTTGTGATCATATATGCTCGTATAAATGATAGAAGATGCACAGCCTATAGTTTTCACGCATCTGAATATCGGACGTTTTCTGTGAAAAATGGCTAGTAAGTCTGCTAGTAAATATTAAAAATGTTAGCTTAAAGTATCCCGACACTATTTATTTAAACCAAAAACTCATAATACAAAACTAAAGTGTCAAAATGAATGACAATATCAGGACATAAATAAAGGAATGTGGAATGTTAGTTTTTGAGATACAGGGTGTAGAAGTTTCATTTTTATTTCGATTCTTTCCAAATAATTTCTGAAGTAACGTCAATATTTGGATGAAAATTGATGTCTGGGAGTTTTTTGACATGAGAAATTTGGATTTTGATATCAATATGACTCCTATTTGTAGGGGACGCCACCCACATGTATTTTAACTGTTTTGAAGAGTAATAAGTTTTCGTCAGTACCTGTATCAAACTACTGAGTGAATAAATATACATTTCCGTGTTTTTTTACGTAAAAAATGTATCTTGGTAAAAATCGCTACGAGCAACCGTTCTCAAGATATTTAGAATGAGAACAGTCAATACATGTTATTATCAACAAAAAATAAACATGTTGAGTAGATAGTTATTGGACTAAAATGGTAAATTTGGGAACTTTTTATTTTTTTAACTTAATCATAAATTTCTCTTCGAAAAAATGATGATAAAACAATTTCTGTTGAACTTTTGGCACAAAAATATTTCAAATGTATGGTTTCAGTCTAAAAACTATTTATTCAACACGTTTAATTTATGTCAATGATGACAGGTATTGATAATTTCGATTCCAAATATCTCGAGAACAATTACTCGTAGCGATTTTTACCAAGAGAATTTTTTTTACGTATAAAACCTCGTGAATGTATATTTTTTTACTCGGTAGTTCTATACAGGTACGGACGAAAAGTTATTACACTTCAAACCAGTTAAAAAATATGTAGGGGGCGCCCTCTACAAGTAGGAGTTATATTGACATCAAAATGAAATTTGTCATGTCAAAAAACTCCCAGACACCAATTTTCATCCAACTATTGACGATACTTAATAAATTATTTGGGAATTTGGGAAAATAAAAATGAAACTTCAACACCCCGTATCTCCGAAACTAAGCATTTTAGGACATACATTTATACGAACTTTTTTACTTATTTTTATCTGCAGAATATACTGCCAAAGCTTCCGGAATAGAGTTCGGACCACTCTGTATTATTACATACTTTTAAATCTTTTTATATTATTTGAAACATTTGAAATTGTTTAAAAAATTATTTGTGGCGTTTGAAAAAAAATAGCATGTTCTATTCGGAGTAAAAATGACTTTTTGTGGCTCGCCCAAATGTCGGACTCGCTAACGCTCGTCTGTATTTTTACTCCTAACTCATAATGCAACATACTATTTTCTATCAAATTATATTCGTTAGTTAAAATTATTTTTAGTTTTATATGTGAAAAAATATGTTTATATTCAATTTAGTAGATGCTATTTAGATTTATAATATTCCTACAACGAACAACATTTAACTTACCTTTATATTATAAAGCAATCCAATAAAATCTGTACCAAACTGTGACGAATAAAACTAAAAATATGTTTATATTGAAGGAAAATTTATCTAATCTAACATGAAGGAATTATACAAATCCCGGCATCACACTAAATTAGAAAATTACGAATATCGCTATTTGAAGTAATATAATTCGTAATTATACGTTATAAAAATGTTTCCTTCAATTTTTGTTATTACATTAGCAACAAAACACATTAATTTTTCAACGCAAGTTTTCATGAAAGATTGTAAATTTAGGACTGCTTAGTTAAATTTAATATTATTAGTACACTGTTATGTACACAAAACCGTTTACTAATTATTAGCGAGTATAGATATAGATACATACTTATTGTATGATTATACAAATTAACATAGTACCTACACCTTACGACGACACGCACGGCATATTTAAATTTATAAAATCATTAAAGCAATATAGGTTATCAGTTTTAATGTTAGAGAAACAGGACATTAGAAAAATATAAACAATGCGTAACGATGTTGTGAAGGAAGATATATACAGTGTGTTGCATTGTAGACATAGAAAATCCCAAGTAATGTTTTAAACATGATGAATAAAAGCATAAACATATGTATACATATTGGTTTCTTTTGACCCAACATATACACGCAAAATGTAACCAAACTGTTTTTTTATTTACAGTTTGGTGTAACTGCAGACTAAATATAATCCTTTTTTCCATAGCAACTGTTAAAATTGTCTTATATCTATCAAAAATAGTAGATAAAATAGTACTTTAACCGAAAGGGTAGATTAAATGATACTTTAACAGCGAGGATAGGTTAAAAACTTCATTTCTTCTCGCACGTTTTTTAATTGCTTCCATTTTTGAAAATTTTTGTATTCCTTTTCATAAGTTATTCGGGATTTAAATGGAAGTAGTTTGGATATGGCGTTTGTCGTCTCAGCCTGAATATCTGTTGGTAATTTACTTATTTCGTTTTGAGCACTCGACACAAAAGAGAATTAAAAAATATTGACTCAAAACTGACAACTAAAGAGACAGCTTTATTTATTTGTCAAATTACATAGAAACCAACGCCAACCCGGCACAATATTTTTTCTACTCGTAATAAATGCCTTAAAATAATAATTTCTGAATATTTTTTAAAACGTAACTCGCTATGGAAAAAAATATTGTTTTATACACGACGATAAAATTGCATTATCGTCTTGCGAAATTAATTCATTAATCTTTTCGGTCGACGATAAAATACCATTTTATCGTCTTGTATAAAAAATAACATCATATGGGATTTCCAATGGTCAAATCAAACTCACACGTTATAATATGATGTAATTTAATTTAAAATTTAATAATACATTAACAACCATTCGGATAATCGGAACGCGAACAGAAAATACCGCTTAAAACCTTTTATTTCCCAGATTATCAAATATTAATGAAGGTGTACGCCCTATCCGAGTTAAAATACCTTTTTAATTAATAAATTAAAAACCGCTCGATGTCGTCCTTTTCAATCTGAATTGTAAATCGCGGTGCTAAGCCCTGAATTGGACAAAATGTAAATCTTTTGCGTTTTGATACCTTAAATAATTAAAGTTTTCTACCTCCTTTTCTTCTAATTACGTAGAAATGTAATTTAGAATGATTAATGTTTACTCGGCGATTTTCCTATTTTATAATGTAAAAAAATCTATAGTAATTTAACTATAACAGAAATATTTTAACTGTATAATAAGCCGAAGACCATTATACTTAGAACTGGATGGCATGTGTCCATCAGCAGCGTACCAATAGCTGAAGACGAATGGTGTTGGATTGCAGCAAGACTATTCTCATCAAAAATTATTAAAATTATAGTAATTTAACTATAACAGAAATATTTTAACTGTATAATAAGCGGAAGACCGTTATACTTAGAACTGGATGGCATGTGTCCATCAGCAACGTACCATTAGCTGAAGACGTATGGTGTTGGATTGCAGCAAAACTATTCTCATCAAAAACTATTAAAATTATAGTAATTTAACTGTAACAGAAATATTTTAACTGTATAATAAGCGGAAGACCGTTATACTTAGAACTGGATGGCATGTGTCCATCAGCAGCGTACCATTAGCTGAAGACGTATGGTGTTGGATTGCAGCAAAACTATTCTCATCAAAAACTATTAAAATTTTAGTAATTTAACTATAACAGAAGTATTTTAACTGTATAATAAGCGGAAGGCCGTTATACTTAGAACTGGATGGCATCTGTCCATCAGCAGTGTACCATTAGCTGAAGACGTATGGTGTTGGATTGCAGCAAGACTATTCTAATCAAAAACTATTAAAATTATAGTAATTTAACTGTAACAGAAATATTTTAACTGTATAATAAGCGGAAGACCGTTATACTTAGAACTGGATGGCATGTGTCCATCAGCAGTGTACCAATAGCTGAAGACGTATGGTGTTGGATTGCAGCAAGACTATTCTAATCAAAAACTATTAATATTATAGTAATTTAACTATAACAGAAATATTTTAACTGTATAATAAGCGGAAGACCGTTATACTTAGAACTGGATGGCATGTGTCCATCAGCAGTGTACCAATAGCTGAAGACGTATGGTGTTGGATTGCAGCAAGACTATTCTCATCAAAAACTATTAAAATTATAGTAATTTAACTATAACAGAAATATTTTAACTGCATAATAAGCCAAAGACCGTTATACTTAGAACTGGATGGCATATGTCCATCAGCAGTGTACCAGTAGCTGAAGACGTATGGTGTTGGATTGCAGCAAGACTATTCTCATCAAAAACTATTAAAATTATAGTAATTTAACTATAACAGAAATATTTTAACTGTATAATAAGCGAAAGACCGTTATACTTAGAACTGGATGGCATGTGTCCATCAGCAGTGTACCAATAGCTGAAGACGTATGGTGTTGGATTGCAGCAAGACTATTCTCATCAAAAACTATTAAAATTATAGTAATTTAACTATAACAGAAATATTTTAACTGTATAATAAGCCAAAGACCGTTATACTTAGAACTGGATGGCATATGTCCATCAGCAGTGTACCAATAGCTGAAGACGTATGGTGTTGGATTGCAGCAAGACTATTCTAATCAAAAACTATTAAAATTATAGTAATTTAACTGTAACAGAAATATTTTAACTGTATAATAAGCGGAAGACCGTTATACTTAGAACTGGATGGCATGTGTCCATCAGCAGCGTACCAATAGCTGAAGACGTATGGTGTTGGATTGCAGCAAGACTATTCTCATCAAAAACTATTAAAATTATAGTAATTTAACTATAACAGAAATATTTTAACTGTATAATAAGCGAAAGACCGTTATACTTAGAACTGGATGGCATGTGTCCATCAGCAGTGTACCAATAGCTGAAGACGTATGGTGTTGGATTGCAGCAAGACTATTCTCATCAAAAACTATTAAAATTATAGTAATTTAACTGTAACAGAAATATTTTAACTGTATAATAAGCGGAAGACCGTTATACTTAGAACTGGATGGCATGTGTTCATCAGCAGCGTACCAATAGCTGAAGACGTATGGTGTTGGATTGCAGCAAGACTATTCTAATCAAAAACTATTAAAATTATAGTAATTTAACTGTAACAGAAATATTTTAACTGTATAATAAGCGGAAGACCGTTATACTTAGAACTGGATGGCATCTGTCCATCAGCAGTGTACCATTAGCTGAAGACGTATGGTGTTGGATTGCAGCAAGACTATTCTACTCAAAAACTATTAAAATTATAGTAATTTAACTGTAACAGAAATATTTTAACTGTATAATAAGCGGAAGACCGTTATACTTAGAACTGGATGGCATGTGTCCATCAGCAGCTTACCAATAGCTGAAGACGTATGGTGTTGGATTGCAGCAAGACTATTCTCATCAAAAACTATTAAAATTATAGTAATTTAACTATAACAGAAATATTTTAACTGTATAATAAGCGGAAGACCGTTATACTTAGAACTGGATGGCATGTGTCCATCAGCAGTGTACCAATAGCTGAAGACGTATGGTGTTGGATTGCAGCAAGACTATTCTAATCAAAAACTATTAATATTATAGTAATTTAACTATAACAGAAATATTTTAACTGTATAATAAGCGGAAGACCGTTATACTTAGAACTGGATGGCATGTGTCCATCAGCAGTGTACCAATAGGTGAAGACGTATGGTGTTGGATTGCAGCAAGACTATTCTCATCAAAAACTATTAAAATTATAGTAATTTAACTATAACAGAAATATTTTAACTGCATAATAAGCCAAAGACCGTTATACTTAGAACTGGATGGCATATGTCCATCAGCAGTGTACCAATAGCTGAAGACGTATGGTGTTGGATTGCAGCAAGACTATTCTCATCAAAAACTATTAAAATTATAGTAATTTAACTATAACAGAAATATTTTAACTGTAAATAAGCAAAGACCGTTATACTTAGAACTGGATGGCATGTGTCCATCAGCAGTGTACCAATAGCTGAAGACGTATGGTGTTGGATTGCAGCAAGACTATTCTCATCAAAAACTATTAAAATTATAGTAATTTAACTATAACAGAAATATTTTAACTGTATAATAAGCCAAAGACTGTTATACTTAGAACTGGATGGCATATGTCCATCAGCAGTGTACCAATAGCTGAAGACGTATGGTGTTGGATTGCAGCAAGACTATTCTAATCAAAAACTATTAAAATTATAGTAATTTAACTGTAACAGAAATATTTTACCTGTATAATAAGCGGAAGACCGTTATACTTAGAACTGGATGGCATATGTCCATCAGCAGTGTACCAATAGCTGAAGACGTATGGTGCTGGATTGCAGCAAGACTATTCTAATCAAAAACTATTAAAATTATAGTAATTTAACTGTAACAAAAATATTTTAACTGTATAATAAGCGGAAGACCGTTATACTTAGAACTGGATGGCATGTGTCCATCAGCAGCGTACCAATAGCTGAAGACGTATGGTGTTGGATTGCAGCAAGACTATTCTCATCAAAAACTATTAAAATTATAGTAATTTAACTATAACAGAAATATTTTAACTGTATAATAAGCGGAAGACCGTTATACTTAGAACTGGATGGCATGTGTCCATCAGCAGTGTACCAATAGCTGAAGACGTATGGTGTTGGATTGCAGCAAGACTATTCTAATCAAAAACTATTAATATTATAGTAATTTAACTATAACAGAAATATTTTAACTGTATAATAAGCGGAAGACCGTTATACTTAGAACTGGATGGCATGTGTCCATCAGCAGTGTACCAATAGCTGAAGACGTATGGTGTTGGATTGCAGCAAGACTATTCTCATCAAAAACTATTAAAATTATAGTAATTTAACTATAACAGAAATATTTTAACTGCATAATAAGCCAAAGACCGTTATACTTAGAACTGGATGGCATATGTCCATCAGCAGTGTACCAGTAGCTGAAGACGTATGGTGTTGGATTGCAGCAAGACTATTCTCATCAAAAACTATTAAAATTATAGTAATTTAACTATAACAGAAATATTTATTTATAATTTTAAATTTGGGGTGGACCACCCTTATCACTTAGGCGTATAAAAAATATATAACAACCTATTCTCAGATCTACTGAATATACATATAAAATTTCATCAAAATCGGTTAAGCCGTTTCGGAGGAGTATAGTAATTTAAACTGTGACCAGAGGAATTTTATATATTAGATTTGTACTTTTTTATAGCAACATGATTGTCTATATATGTAAATATGTAAAAAATAAGTGAAAAGATGGGATAAAAAACGGAAAAGTCGATCACCTTTATTGGTTTTATTGCAATTTGAGCGGGACAATGAGTACCCTAGAAATCAACCAAAATCGTGTCTATGTTCATAAAAAATAAATCTTAATTTTACGTGAGGAAACTCTTGACAACAGAGATAGTTTTAAAACACCCTGTAAATTCATCTAGCTACATTGCTTCATTAATTATCATCTGCTCTCGGACTATTTCAACCCAGCTTTGTGTAACCCCAGCAACCCACCGGGAAATAATCAATACAAACAATGCGATCGAAAATGGTAAATAGCTGACATTTTCAGTTTGTATCTTAATTTTTTCGCAACTACACCTATCCTGGGTCGTGAAATTATTTTGTTTCTCTTTATGTGATCTTTTTTTCGTCTTATTTTCGATTTCGGTTTCCAAATCTTTCTTCTTAGGCCAAGTTTTAGCATGTTAAAACGTCGAAAGGATAATAATGAGTAAAGGGAATAGATGAAAAATGAATCGGTACAATATTTTGCACCAGCTGGGTGACGGTACTTATGGTTCGGTGGTGCTGGGACAAAGGAAAGATACCGGTGAAAAGGTAGCAATTAAGAGGATGAAGAGGAAGTATTATAGTTGGGATGAAGCAATGAGTCTTCGCGAAGTTAAGGTACGAAATAGTTAATACATAAAAAGGAATATTCAGTTCTTTAAAAAATAATAGTGAAATAAAATAATCATGTCGAAATTTTAGTTTTTTTTTTGTTGAATATTAGTATGAAAAACCTTTCGATTGCTTTGAAATATAGGAATTTGGCGCTTAATTGGCATTGTTACCGAGCATAACATAATCAACTAATCCGGAAAAAAGCCCAACCGAGGGTAAACTTTTGCCTTAACAGTACTCGAAAAATAACCCTATGAAATATCGGACATTTATTTAGAAACACCCTGTATAAATATCGACACACTTAAGAATATAAACAAAATATACAAGGTGGTCCGAACTGTATTCCGTAAGCTTCGGCAGCATATTCTGCAGATAAAAATAAATAAAAAAGTTCGTATAAATGTATGTCCTAAAATACTTAGTTTCGGAGATACAGGGTGTAGAAGTTTCATTTTTATTTTGAATTTTTCCAAATATTTTCTGAAGTAACGTAAATGTTTGGATGAAATTTGGTGTCTGGGAGTTTTTTGACATGAGAAAATGACATGTATTGACTATTTCCTTTCTAAATATCTTGATTTGATTGCTCGTAGCGATTTTTACCAAGTGATATTTTTTACGTAAAAAATCACGACAATGTAGGTACATTTTTTCACTCAGTAGTTTTATGCAGATACGGACGAAAAGTTATTACTTTTCAAAACAGTTAAAACACATGTAAGCGGCGCTTCCTACAAAGAGGTGTCATATTGACGTCAAAATCAAATTTCTCATGTCAAAAAAAACCCCAGACACCAATTTTCATCTTTGACGATACTTCAGAAATTATTTGGAAAAAATCGAAATAAAAATGAAGCTCCTACACCCTGTATCTCCGAAACTAAGCATTTTTGAACATACATTTATACCTATTTATACGAACTTTTTTACTAATTTTCGAAGTTTCTAGAATACAGTTCGGATCACCCTGTATACAATGACAATGATAAAAATCTTTATCATTGTCATCACACAATCAGAGCAATAGGAACAGAGAACCAGAAGTAATGAGACCATATATCTTTCGTCATATTATAATCATATTAAATATATCATATTGTCACATTGTTTGTTTTATTTTGGTATTCGCTCATACACATCTAAGTGCCTCTAATTTGATTCATGTTTGATTAATTTTTGAAATTTAATTTTTTAAAATTAGGCGTAAATATGGTACACAAATATCATTTTTATGGATTGTTTAATGGTTTCAAACAATAAATAATATTGCAGCTATTATTTTTAATACTTATGGACAGTATATAAAACGGAACTATAATTTTATTGCAGCTAATAAACCTAATGCCCCATTAGTTTTATTTATAATAAAATACGCCTATTACTCCCTCAGATTATAATAGTATTTTAAATATTAATATAAGGTCTCTTCCTCTGGGTCTATCCAAGCGAGTCAGGGAAGATTACATTCCAAAAAATGAGAGAATATACAATAATTTACTTTTGAATTAAAATGACAATCGCTGTCATGTATCCTATCTCTTTGATAGACTAAAAAAATCAATATCTTTTAGTCCTTGAAGAAATTACATCATTCGAACGTGGTCAAATTGAAAGAGGTCATCCGAGAAAACGATGTCCTCTACTTTGTTTTTGAGTACATGCAGGAAAATTTATATCAACTCATTAAAGACAGAAGAGTACCGTATCCAGAAGCTACAGTTAGAAATATGCTTTATCAAGTAAGTACTTTAATATTGATACATACATAAATTCTCGTCCACACATAATGTTTTACATGTCAATCTTACCTGTTCAGTCAAAACGTATCAAGTAAAACATTATGTGCAGACTAAAAAACGGTGTCTTTTACTTGAACTGTATTAGGATGGAAGACAGTCTATAAGAACCAGATATCACTCAGTTTTAGATAAAAAAAAAACGTCGTTTTGCTTCAGCTTGTAAAAACAATTAGTTCAGTCCGTAATCGTAAATGACCTGTATGTCGCGTCGCCATCATGTCTAGCGATCTGAAAAGGGGCAATCGAAATAGGAAAATCAGCCGTGTCTTTGGCGAATTAAATCACCAGAATATCATGATAGGGTGAAGAAGGATGCAGCATGCACATTTTTACTTGATAAGTATATATTAATTGACAGCCAAGCCGATACGGATGCCGTTATTAAAAAGATGATTACCTTCAGGATTCCTTCTTCTTTTTCGCGGACTTCCTTCTTCTTTTTCTTCGGACTTCCTTCTTCTTTTTCGCGGCATAAACTGAAGCTTGTTCAAGCACGCATGTACCGTGTGGCGGCGAAGGTAAATTATGCATGGCTTGTACAAAAAGATTGTTCATGCATGCTTGTCAAGCTTGCAGTAGTATGTGTAGCCCCACCTTTAGACTCTCATACATAAGATAAATCTCCAAATGCAGAATCATTTTGTATCTGTTTGGTACCTTATCATCGACTTTTATTACAATAATTTCGCTTTTATATTACAGATTCGATCGGTATAATTTCTAAGAAAACTGTTTTTTCTTTTGAAATCGAATCGCTTTTAATTTATTTATAACGTTGTGTCGTCGCGTTATCGATTTTCGTCATTGTCAAATATTAAACGATTACAGACGTTGAACTAAATTAGTTTTCCTTGCGTCAATTCATTTCAGGACAAGGTATTTTTGACATAGATTACTTGTATGTATATCGTGATACAACACTTAACAGATAAACTACAAATTTAAAAAAATTGGCACCGGGAAGCACATATATAGCAATTTTGTTGCAAATACTATTCCTAATCTTCAATATCAAAACCGCGTTTCGCTAGCTACTGTAATTTTGGAGTTACGATTTTTTAAAATTTTTAACCCCCTTCCATAATTGGTCAATTTTTTGTAATTATTTTTTATTATTAAAGTTGATTCTCACTATACCTTCCGTTTCCATTCCATATTCGTTCCGTATTTTTTACTGTATTGACGCTATAGGTAAGCTTCCGTTCCGTATCAGTTTCATACTTTTTATTGTACAATTTATACCATTACGAAAGTTTTATTTTAAAAATTTGTATCTTTTGAAAAGGTAATAGATTTAATTAATAAGTGAAAGAATAAATAAATATCAACAAAATTTTAAGAGAGCTGGTACAAATACAAGAACTTGACAACGCTGTTGCCGATACGCTTCAGTCCGTCCGGCGTCCGCCAAAAAAAATGTATGGAAGGAAAGGATATGGAACGGAAGGGAAACGGAACGGATAGTGTGCATTGTCCTATTCATTTACATGATATAATATTTTATGTAAACGGAAGGGAAACGGAAGGGAGCTGATATGGAAGGTACAGTGAGAATCAACGTGGCGGTATTCCTTAGGCGACCAAAACAGGTTTTAATCAAATTGTTGTTGATTGTCATAGTTTTAAAACATCCTATGAGTAAATTGAAGAAGATAGTTTTGTTTACAAGCTGTATTTGAAACACTGTCTTTTTTAAACAGTACTATTATTTCATTTCTTGTACGAGCTGCGAATTTTTAAACAAAATGGTTATGTGAAGCTTATTTTTTAATTGAAAAATAGCCAACATGTGAATAGCGTGTATTTCCACTTGTCACAGTAAGCAAAGCTACAGTTATTTTTTTCTTGAGGACTAATGAAATATTCATCTCTCTAACTTCTGAAAAGTTTGTGGTTACATAGGGCGACAACAAATGTTTCTTTTAAGTTCATTCCTTTGAATAAGAAGACTAAGGAAGGAACATATCAAAAATCTTAGGTACACCGCGATGGCCCTCAAATATGGCCGACTTAAATTCCGGTTTATCAGTGTCGTTCTAATTTTATTTAAAAAATGTAAAACTATGTGTAGGGTAGACGTGGGGTAGACTCAATAATTTATTATTTTATTTTACGTTGTGAATAAATGTTGGTAGTTATTAAAATTGTTATAAAAATATATAATTCTAATAAAAATAGATAAGTTATAATAAGTATTTATTAACACAAACATCCGATGCGCTACTGAAGCAGGTAAGTCAAATTAACGTATCTAAATTCTTTGACATCTAATCTTTGACAAGTAATAAATAAAAGCTAAAATGCAAGAAAAATATATAATTTAGTTAATTTAAGTGAATTTCATAAATGATCGGTTTACTACACGTATGTATATTATATAGTCACTTACTAGCGAAAAGTTGTTCCATTATTTCACTCGATTTTTGCCGAGATCTACCGCACGCTACACAACCGACTATTTTAGAGTCTTTTTCGATAAATCGCGATAGTGTCCCTGTTAATTTAAGTTCTGCCACAATTTCCATCTAGATTTACTACCTTTATACAACTATCAGTAGTAGAATAAATAATAAATAACATAAAATAAGCTCCGTAAAGACTGACAAATCCACAAAATTTCAAATCAAATTCAAATGTGTCAAATGAATCGTCAAACAGAACTGTCAAGGATCCCCACCCTAGAGTGCTTTTTCCGCCCACCATGCATGAATGCATGGAGAGCATTATGCTCCTTCCTTAGTCTTCTTATTCAAAGGTTCATTCCAAATGTATAATGGCAAAAAAAATAGCCAAGATGTTTTTTTTTATAAATTCTACATTAATCCGCCGCTTTAGGACAATATATTGAAGCCAGGAAAAGAATATATGGCTACCTGAATGAATTTTAATCATTTTTCATAGTGCTAGATATGATATTAAGTTATATGTTTTCTTTTTGGTAGATTTTACAAGGTTTGGCGTTCATCCATAGGCACGGGTTTTTTCACAGAGACCTGAAACCGGAAAATATACTCTGTTCAGGGCCGGATTTAGTGAAAATTGCTGACTTTGGGTTGGTCAGAGAGATCAGATCTAGGCCTCCATATACCGATTATGTTTCAACAAGATGGTATAGGTAAGAAATGTCAGTTTATTCCCATTGAACGCTAAAAAAATATAAGTGAAGTTTGTAAATATAATATGGATATATAAAAACCTGTCCCAAATATAGCTGGCGTTACCGTGAGCCTGTCCGAGATTTAGTTTAAATCTGTGTCGCTGCGCGCTGATAGTTGTTTACAGCGCAGCGGATAAAGAATACTGTACAGTAGTTCTGCTTTCAGTCGATAGAGTGGGTGGTTGCCGGAGACGGTGTTGCCAGAACTACTGATAAATCCGTAGATTTACTGATTTTGGAAATGGGGCTCTAAGGTGTTTATTGAGGACACAGTGTCCTGTGTCTTAAAAACCCCGTGACAATTCGATTGATCTTACTTAAATCAAGGAAAATTTTTGACTTTTCTCGGTCCTAAGTTCTGAGAAATTTCTTCGAGTGTCTTAGACCGTTGGAGGATTCCCATTCCACAGACGGAGCATTAGATATAACCATAGATTTATGGATATAACTGACTATTCAATATTTCTAAATAAACATAATCTAAACTGCAAACAGAGGTGCGTTCCATACCCGCTTGCAATTTTTCAGTTAAAACGAAATAAGATCGACATGCGAGTATAAATTTTTAATATTTAAATTTCTCGAACGGCGAAATAACTTTCTCGGCCGAACTTGGCTTGTGGCTCTAAGGTAAAACATGAAATATATGGCTAATTTAAAATAGAATACCGTTGAATTATGCGAAGGAAGAATATTTATGGCGTCTAAAATAGTACAGATATAAATTACCATTATATATCGTTCTTGTTTTCTTTATAAGTAAATATATATTTTAAGTAAAATGGATTGTAAATTTCATTATGTGGTGGGAGGCTATTGTCTTTAGATTTATTTTTTTATGTTAAAAATAACATATTATTAGTAGAATTATTCCATCTTAATAACTAATTCCAATATAATTAAAAGTTACAGAGTATTTTTCTTAACAACGCAAAACATACGATTTACTCTTTTTTGATAAAAATAGATAAAAATATTAAGAAACGAGCATATTAAAAAAATCCTGGAGAGCGCGATGGTACTGGGAATATGGCTGACTTAAGTTCCGGTTAATCAGTACCGTTCTAATTTTATTTAAAACGTTAAAAAATATAATGTAGGGTACACAGCAAAATAAAACACTAATTCACCACAATACACCAAAACACTTTACTTTCACTTCCAGTGCATGTTACAATCACCAGCAGATGATTAAAACTTAACTAATACTACAAAATTGAGCGTCAGGGTGCTACAAATTCGAAGTACCAGCATTGGTATATCAGTAACCGTCATAGATACAAACATGCCAAGATGCCATCAAAAAAGTTTTAAAACTTTCACGGATTGCTGAGTTTTTTGAAAAAAAAACGGCTTTTTTTAACGGACATTACTTGACTTTATGTCATTTGTAAAAGTGAAATAAATATTTTACAACATTTACAATAAAGAGTACAAAATTCATTCGAAAGTATAAGAAGGAGATATGTACAAAGAGCTTAAAATAAAATTGAACGAATAATAAATTTGTGCAATGGGAAGGGTTGTAACCTTTTCGAACATGGATATTTATAATAACGATTAATATTATGCATATTATTAGATTGTACAGGTGAGATTTAAAATTCACAATAAAAAAAGTTAAAAATAATACTATCTTTAAATTGCTGACCTGGATATTATTTATTTTAATCTTTCAATTGGCTCGATTTTCCTTATTCAATGTCAATAGGCGCTGATCAATATTGATGAATACCTATAATCAGATTAAATAATTTAAAAACCAGAGTCAGAATTGAAATTATTTTAAATAATATCTAAATAGTTTTGTTGATGTTAAGGTGCCCAAAATAAAAAAGTGTAAAGTGTGGCATATCATTGTACTCAGGAGACCGAGTTCTTTCATAACCTGAAATAAAAAATGCAGGTCCGTATTTAAAAAAATTAAGTTGACCTCTGTATCTCACAAATTATCAGCTAATTTGAAAATCTAAAAATACTGCCAGATAGCCATAATAAATTGGCTATGATAATGTGTAATAAGTTTTTTGATTTTCTAAAATGTAACGACTGGAAAAAATAAAATTGGTTTTCAAATCCTTCAAATTTTTAAAACTTTGTGATGGCATCTAGTTAGCGAAACGCCTGTCTAATGCAAAAGTGAAGTGTTTTGGTGTATTGTAGTGAATTAGTATTCTACTTAGCTGTTGTAACACGAAAGGTTCCAACCCCCAACAGTAATATTAAAATAATTTTATAACTTTTTTTCCAGGGCTCCTGAGGTACTACTGCATTCAACTACCTATAGTAGTCCCATCGATCTTTGGGCTGTTGGCTGTATAGCTGCCGAAGTGTATACGTACCGACCTCTCTTTCCTGGTACCACAGAGACGGACCAGCTTTATAAAATATGTGCCATCATGGGTACACCCGATAAAGTACGTAAAAAATCTACCATCCTTGTATTATAAATATTTTTTACTGTACCGGGTGAAAACAAAATTCTTGTACAAACCACCACATGGATACTTTTTTGTGGAATATATTAGGATGTTGAGTTACATATAAAAATATAGATACTAGCGTACCCGCGACTTCGTTCGCGTCGAATTAATCATTTGTAATGGTGATGATAAAGCAAAGCAAGAATTTCCATTAACATACAAACTGGATAAAATTTTCTCACATTTATGTCAACATGAGAAAAAACAATAATAATATAATATATTATTATATAACTTAAAACGTAATATTTAAGGGCTAGTTTCATCTCGTTGGAATTTGACTTTCGAAAAATACGATTGCCAAAAACAAGCTTTTTGTGTCAAGCAGTTTAAGCAGAATCGTGGTTAATCAATTACCCAACTTTTTGGAACACCCTGTATGATTTTTTAAAAAATTTCAAAATATGTAAAAAACAAAATAAATTATGCGTGTCCAAGCGTTTTCCCGAAAGACTAACCGTTTTTAAAATAACAAATATTGTAATATTTGAGGGGCGTTTTTACCCTCTTGGAATTTGAAATTCGAGAAACCCCTCCTTATCGAACCTCTATACCCCACAGTCATCCGTTTGCTAAAAATCAGCTTTAAACGTCAAGCAGTTCAAGCAGAAATCGTTATTACTCAATGGTCATATTTTATGAAATATCCTGTATAAATTTTTAAAAAATGTTAAAATATGTAAAACAACAAAATAAAATATACGTGTTTAAGAGTTTTTCCGAAAAACTCACCGGTTTTTAATTAAAAAATATTGTAATATTTGAGGGGTTAGAATTCGAGTTTCGAAAAATCCCTTCTTATCGAACCTCTACACCCTAAAGTCAAACTGTTTTCCAAAAATCAGCTTTTTACTTCAAGCGCTTTAAGCAGGATATAATTAATCAATGACTAGATTTTTCGAAACACCCTGTATGCATTTTTTTAAAAATCTTAAAATATGCAAAAAAATAAAATAAAATATACGTGTTTAAGCGTTTTTTCGGAAAATGGATCGTTTTTTAAATAAAAAATATTGTAATATTTGAGTGGTGGTTTCACCCCCCTTGGAACTGGAATTTCAAAAAATCCCTTCTTATCGAACCTCTACACCCTAGAATCAACCTGTATGCCAAAATTGAGCTTCTTACGTTGAGTGGTTTGAACAGGATCGTGATTAATGAGTGAGTCAGTCACTTAAGGATTTTTTATATTAGTATAGATAAATCCTTTAAATCAGGACTTTTTAAAAGTAATTTTATTATATTTGTATCTCTTGCAGAAGAAATGGCCTGAAGGTTATCAACTAGCTGGAGCTGTAGGGTTCAAGTTTCCCTATTTCGTCAAGACGCAACTAAGTGACGTGGTACCGCAAGCAGGATCTCTTGCCGTCGCTCTTATGGACGATTTGATGGAGTGGAACCCTGTGCACAGGCCAACGGCTCAAGGAGCCCTAAAACATCAGTACTTTCAGGTACACAAGCAGTTTAATACTCACTAAAAAGGCTGATTAAAAACAGATTGTTCACTAAGGGTGTAGTCCGTTGTTTACCTTGGTTATGGTTTTATGTTCCGTTTCTATCGGTTTCCTGAAAGTTATCTTATTACGGAACACGGTTCCTCAAAAATTCGGTTATAACTGTCACCAAACTAACCAGCGCGAGAAGGCTGGTTTTTCTGGTTTTGTTTGTCAATCAATGTCATTTATGTGACAGAAATCAAGCAAAAATTAGAAGTTTGAGTGAAATTCTCATTTAATTTCTAAAATTTGTAATAATATTTTGTATTTACATCCAAAAGCAATGGAGGTAGGCAGTAAAGGTAAATACGTTTCATTAACTAAATAAAATGACTTTTTAGGACCATTTAAAATTATATTGCAATCATTGTTTCTTAAAGTCAGGGGAATTTAAAGAAAACATGAAAAACAAGACAACAAGTAATCGTGAATGTTTTGTAAGCTATATAATATTATTATTATTTTTATAAGCTATATAAAAATATAAATATTGATTAGATTTGTTTATTTATTATTGATCTGTTTTAATATTGGACCTGCAAATATTCACTTGAGCTGTCTAACGAGTTTAACAATTTATTAATAATCAATATTAAACTTCATTGAAAAGAAGAAACAAACGTAAAAGCAGAGAATAGGTACATTAAAAATGCATAAAAGATAAATTTTATAATAGAGGTATTGAAATTTAGAAACCGTCAACATTTGACGTTTCCAGTAGTTTACCAAACCGTTCCGTATCAAACCGATGTTTTTCAGGAACCGCTTTTTACTGTAGTTTACCGATCTGGTTCGCTTGGTTTTGCAACGCAATACAGCTTAAAATATACGGGTTACTAATTTTTTCTTAATGTTTCCAAATTTTAGGTTGGTCAAAGTTACTCAAGTGTGACGAGACCTTTAGTGGCTAACAACGTTCTTCAAGAAAACGGTATGATTAAAAATTCTGCTAGACCTGGTCGTGTACTGCCTCAACCACCATCATTTTCGACTACGGAACAACAAATCAACCATGTACCGGGTGAGCAAACAAATCAAATTTGTTAATAATAAAAGTCTTAGAAACGAGTCAAAAACTATTTTTATGTGCGTACCTACGGTTCATACATTAAAAACAGAAAAACGCTGTCATGGTAACCCCTTTTAACAGAACGGACACTGACTTTTCTGTATTAAAACCCCTTCTCATTTTTGCAAAGAAAAATGCTTTTTGATATGCAGTGTCTCGCCGGATTTTCTTTACCAGAGGAAAAAAAATTGGATTTTTGACATATTTTCACTTTTTTTTAATTTTCTCTAAAACAGTATGGAAATTTGGAAAAGTATAAAGGGGATTAAGCACTTTAGAACAAGCAAAATTTTTATGACGAATTCATTTTTCTCAAAATGTCAATAATAAAAAAGCGTTTCCTCTTGTAAAGAAAAGTCTGGGACAAACTGTATACAGGATGGTCCCAACTGTATTCCGAAAATTTCTGCAGCATATTCTGCTGATAAAAATAAGTAAAAAAGTTCTTATAAATGTATGTCCTAAAATGCTTAGTTTCGTAGATACAGGGTGTAGAAGTTTCATTTTTATTTCGATTTTTTCCAAATAATTTCTAAAGTAACGTTAATATTTGGATGAAAATTGGTGTCTTGTTTTTTTTTAACATAAGAAATTTGATTTTGATGTCAATATGACTCCTATTTGTATGGGGCGCCACCTGGTGTTTTAACTGTTTTGAAGGGTAATAACTTTTCGTCTGTACCTGTATAAAACTACTGAGTGAAAAAATATATATTTCCGTGATTTTTTACGTAAAAAATGTCTCTTAAAATAAAAAAAGATATTTAGAATGTGTCAATACATGTCACATTGACTAATAATAATCACGTTGAGTAGATAAGTTATTTGACTGAAATGATAAATTTGTGAACTTTTTATTTTTTTAAGATAATCATAAATTTTTCTTCGAAAAAATGATGATAAAACAGTTTCTGTTAATCTTTTGGCACAGAAACATTTCAAATTTATGATTTCATGCATTCTAATAACTATTTAGTCAACGCATGTTATTTTTTATACGTCAATGATGACAGGTATTGATAATTTCGATTCCAAATATCTCGAGAACCATTATTCTTAGCGATTTTTACCAAGAGACATTTTTACGTATAAGACCTCGTAAATGTATATTATTTTACTCACTAGTTTTATACAGGTACGGACGAAAAGTTATTACTCTTCAAACCAGTTAAAAAATATGTAGGTGGCGCCCTCTACAAGTAGGAGTCATATTGACATCAAAATCAAATTTCTCATGTCAAAAAACTCCCAGACATCAATTTTTATCCAAATATTGACGTTACTTCAGAAATTATTGGGAAAAAATCGAATAAAAATAAAACTTCTACGCCCCCTGTATCTCCGAAACTAAGTATTTTAGGATATACATTTTATACGAACCTTTTTACTTATTTTTATCTGCATAATATGCTGCCGAAGTTTCCGGAATAGAGTTTGGACCTCCCTGTATACTGCGTTCTTTAGTCATTTTATTGAATAGTTAAGGGTTAATTGAGAAGGTTAAGTTAAAATTTTTAGATATTTAAATTGTCATCACTCTTAAACTAATTAAAGTAAACTTCAAGCTGTTTTTTTTTTTTTTTTATTTACTAAACAGCTCCAGCTCCAACATTACAAATCCAAGCCAACGGTCGTAACCTCCTCGACGATCTACCAAGTCCAATATCCCTCCCCAACAACCAAGCCGTACCACCCATGCCACCAAGTGTCCAGATTAACATCCAATCGCTGATCAAGCCGATGAAAACTCCAGAGAAACCAGCCCCACAGCCTATAGTTTACAGTTTTGGACAGTCGGAGTATGCTAGTAGGTACTTGCCGTCGGTACTGTCGGGGAACCAGGTTCGAGGTCGGGAGAAGAAGATGAGTTGGGATTATGGAGTGACTGGAGGATTTGAATATGCCGAGGATGACTTTGCTGATATCTTAGGGTAAGTAATCTAATAATCTAGAATATGCGCACAAATTATCATCGATTATTATTTTCCAGTCGTCTTTGACGCCGTTTTTTTTTTTCGATCATATGGTCGTATTTTAATAAAACAGTCTTTCAGAAAAATGTTTATGTTTCTATGTCCTTTGAATTTTTCTTAACTTAAACGACTTAACTGAACTTTAATGCTCTTAAGAGTCTATTACCACAGATTATACAGATTATAAAATTATCGTCAAAAGCATTGTTTTTCGTGGTTCCAATTTTCGGAGTCGCGCATAAGTTAGGTTACTAGTTTGCGCACATAGCACGCCCACTTATGGCCTCTAAAATTGTGCACAGCGCCTGACCGGCACAGTTATTACGCTGTTTAAACGCGAGTTTATTTTTGCGCACAGGAAATTTTACTCGTTTGCTCATCGTCATAAAAAACAATTTTCGTACCGCGAATTAGGGACAAGATTTTTATCTGTATACATACAGTATACTTAATCTGTGCTATTACGCTGTACTATTCGGTTGCTCTCAGGGGTCGGGTAAAGCGGGTGTGTGGCCGAAAAAAATATATAGTGTATTTCAGAAATCTGCCTAAGGCTTAGCCCGATCCTGTCGTGTTAAGCCACACCCAAAATTCCAAACACACGTGCTTTGATTAAGGCTTGATTAAGCTTATGCAGAGCTTCAGCATTTTCCATAAAATAACGAGCAATTTATTACAAAACCATATAAATTATATATCACTGTAATCACAAAACTTCAATCTATTTCCGTATTGTAACGGAATTTTAAATTATGTCTTTATTTTCGAGAAAATTTAGTCCAAACATAAGGAATATTTTGTTGATGTTTGACCATCAAAATCTTAAAAATAAAGAAGTTGTCTAAAAATGTGCTACCATACGGATATAGCATAATACCACAGATTATAATCTTTGTTTTTTCTTTATTGTTTTTCGTGGTTCCAATTTTCGGAATCGCGCACTACTACTAAGTTTGCGCACATAGCACGCCCACTTATGGCCTCTAAAATTGTGCACAGCCCCTGACCGGCACAGTTATTAGAGAGATATCGGAAAACCGAATAGCGTCATCCAGTATTTACGCGTACCTTATCATGGTTACAATATGCGCGAGTCAATTTTTAACGCAACACCCGCTAATAACGTTACCGCCTGACGTAATTTGCGGATCAATTACACAAAGCGCTCTTTCTAAATAACCTCTGATAACGTTTAAAAATTGCTTAAATGAGCATGTGCGGGTATTTGACAACCGAAGCCGGCCGGCGAGATCTTTTATTTTAGGTTATGTTTAAATTGTTTTGAATTATTGCTTTAGTTTTATTAGGTAGGTAATTTGATATTTAAGTAGCTGGGATTAGTTTTAATTAAATAAATGTGGCTCAAAATATGGATTCCACCTCTTCCAATACTCAAGAACCTATAAAGAGTCTTAGGTTTACAGCAGATGACGACTTAGCCCTTCTAAGAGAATTTGTTGCTTGTTGCCCTAAACCCATTAGCAGACATTGAACAATAAAGCACTGGAAATAAGCACTTTAGCCCTTTAGTTTTAAAATACCTAGTAAACAAAACAATTTCAAAGTTTTAAATTCAAAGTTAGGTTAAGTTTAAATAGCGGACGCGACGCGAAAACGTCTGAAAACGTCACGTAAAGGAAATAACACCTGGCCTTATTAACGTCCATGCACGCTATTCGATTTAGCGATATCTCTCTATTACGCTGTTTATTGTTATTTTACGCGAGTTTATTTTTGTGCACAGGAAATTTGACTCGTTTGCACATCGTCATAAAAAACAATTTTCGTACCACGAATTAGGGACAAGATTTTTATCTGTATACTTATAGGATACCTAATCTGTGATAATACTTTATCTTTAATTTCCATCTTCAGTTGTGTAAAAATACCTAACCAGTTTTACATAAAACGTTAAATGCCGAACGCTTATTTTGTTACTTTTTCGGACTAGTGAAATGGACTCCTAACTCTGTTCGACAAAAACAACAATATAATGCCCCAGTGTTTTATTAATAACTTTACTTTTACAATTAAACAAATATTATATATATTTTCAAGAAGAAAGCTCAAACGGCCCAACCCGGACAATCACATCCAAACGAAGGAGAAGATCAACCTGAGCCAATTCAACTTGCAAGACTTGCTGGAACCTTTGGCCAAAGCCAGCGCTGGTACCGCCAGAACACAGTACTTGAGTGTATCGAGGTACGTGGCTGGACATCCGGTGTCTGGTACCAGGAGAGAGTTAAATTTGGGACAGAGAAATAGCGGACTATATGGAAGAAAATCTGGTAAAATTTTATGATTAAAAAATAAAAACTTGCACCTATATTTCATATTGTTACGGATTCCGTGGGTCCACTAATTTAAACTCACAATAAAATATTTATTATTTGTTCTCACTCTGTACACACAATTTATACTAATAACACACAATTAACTACTTATAAAATTCCTTCGCCAAATTGTCCGATTCGTAATAATTTAAAACGCGGTATATTCAAACTTCAAAACTGTCCAACCGCCAAGTGTGGGTCTTTATATATCCCTACTGACGGTTTCTCGAACCTTCTATAGAATTCTGTAATATTTTTTTTCACTTTCTTGTGAATTCGCCATGTTTCTTGACACGTAGGCACGTTGCGACAATGTAGGCAACCAGTAATACAGTTTAGCGCCACATGCACTTTGACAATATCAATTAAACTTTTAGTTACGTAATCGAGGGCGCGATTTTTAAATTCATTGTTGCCAACCATGGACATATTCAGCGCTGTGCTGTCTAACTGGAATTTAAATTTCGCGCTGGGGATTCAGGTGGGGGTTGTATTGTAAAAAAAGTCTAGTTGTCGCATTTATTTATTTATTTCCTGACATTGTCATTCGTTTTGACACTTCAGTTTAGTACTACGAGTTTTTGGTTTAAATAAATAGTATTGTACATACTTTAAGCTTGAAAATGTTTACTAACAGACCTTGCAGTCGAACACTGTACTTTTTAGAACCTCTTTTAGTGCGAAGTGTACAAGATATCTTAATAGCCGTAAAAAACTCATCGCAACTTTATTAGAATATTTTGAACGGGAAAGCGGTAGTAATGGCCCTTTATGTCCCTTAAGTGCTGTTAGGGAGGTGAGTTTTGTTGATGTAGAAACTGTTTAATCATCATTTTTTGCAGAAAAATTTATGATTAATTTAAAAAAACAAAAATTTCACAAATTTATTATTTCAGTGAAATATCTATCTACTCAACGTGTGTATTTTTCGTCAATAATGACATGTATTGACTATTTCCATTCTAAATATCTTAAGAACTTTTGCTCGTATCGATTTTTACAAAGAGATATTTTTTACGTAAAAAATCACAGAGATGTATATTTTTTCGCTCGGTAGTTTTATACAGGTACGGACAAAAAGTTATTACGCTTCAAAACATTTAAAACACGTGTAGATGGCGCCCTCTACTAGTAGGAGTCATATTGACATCAAAATCAAATTTCTCATGTCAAAAAACTCCCAGACACCAATTTTCATCCAAATATTGACGGGACTTGTTTATAAAAAATCGAAATAAAAATGAAACTTCTACACCTTGTGTCTCTGAAACTAAGCATTTTAGGACATACATTTATACGAACTTTTTTACTGATTTTTATCTGCAGAATATGCTGCCGAAGTTTCCGGAATACAATTCGGACCACCCTGTATATAAAAGTGGACAACTCTGTGCCAGTCAAGCGTAATCACGTGTGACTAAATGTTTATTTGGTATGAACTGTAGGTACCTTACAGCAAAGACTTTTCATTGCTCTGCATAAAATAAACCTGAATTCGATTTAAAAACAATCTGGTGTTTTACCTTTGTTTTTACTATACAGGGTGTTCGAAAAATGCACGGCCACGACATTTCAGATCTTATTCTGATCTAACAGTGCCCACAATATCGTAACTGTAACAGCAAAAATTCTCTTATATGCTCTAGCTGACAAAATAAATGACATATCTAACAAAAGTTAATTTTTCACATCCTAAAGATCACACTAAAAGACGTTTTTCCCGCTGTGGAAGGCGACGATATACAGGGTGTTTCAAAAAACATGTGCCATTATCATAAAAAGTCAGTGGACATGTTATTTTAAAAAAATATCCCTATGTAGTGTAAAATATGTAGCACTTATGGTAACTTTTACCCTCAAAATTTCATTCAAATCTCTAAAAGTACTTGGAAGAAAATTATAATAAATCGAAAAAAAGATTTTAACTCCCTGTAGCTACGAAACAAAGCAGAATCGGACCTATGTTGAGAGGAAAAATAAATCTTATTTTTACATGAGGAATCTCTCCACTAGAGATAGCACATATTTTCCGAGACACCCTGTATATTAATAATCTAAAATTAATCCTAAATATCACAAATTCTAAACCAATTTTTGTTTGTGATGGAATGTGTCTGTTTTATGGAATAACAAATTAGTAAATTGAAAATTTTGTTTCAGCAAAAATCGACATGCAACCGCTGTGGGCAGATGGCGTTCAACTCGCCGACATGAATTCGGCGAAATCGCGCCGTCTGCCGGCCAAAGTCGAAATCAACTCTTCTGCCAAATGATCGAAACCACTCTGCGAGACTGTGATATATTTCTTTTTTATATATCCTGGAAGTGCAACCGCTGAGTGGGAGTACACTCGATGTAAGAACGATTCCAAAGGAAAGATATACTTTTAAGTGATTAAAAAACAAGCAAAAATGTATAGGTTTAACCAAATTATTAAATACAAGTTACAAAAAAAAGTATATAAATGTTTGGTTTCATGTGAAATGTTCTCTGAAATAGTTAAATGAAAGGGAAATGTTATAGGAAATATTTAAATATAGTAGTTATAGTCTGTCCAGCAAGGAGATCCATGACGGTGACAGTTATATCTATAATTTTTAATTCGGAGATAAAGTATGTCTACTGGAAAAGAATTTCAAGAATGCGGACGGGGAAGATATTGGAGTATGATCAATTTACTACAAAACGCATTTAAATAAACCGCAATATATTTATGGATCGCTACCTATACAAGGTGTCCCAGAAATAAGTGCAAGTATTTTAACTGGTAGTATAATTCAACCCCAGAAACACGCCTATGAGGTTTTTTTCACGAAAAAAAAAATAAAAATTCGGAATTTTTTGAAAAAAAATTTTGGAAATTTTTTCAGTTTTTAGTTAAAAAAACATAATTTCTTGATAATATATGGCAACATAGGTAGTAGATTAAATTTACAAGAAAGAAAATCCAGACATTTTCAAAGTAAAATAACTCCGTTATTTTGGACTTATTTGAAAAACGATAAAGAGAAAATATGTTTCTTTTATCGAGATCTACCACCCCTTAAAATACTTGCACTTATTTCTGGGACACCCTGTATACAAGAGGCAGAGAGTCCACGTGGACTTACTTGACAAGTATGTCACCGCAAGACATGAATGTTTGCCGGTGATTTTTTTGAATTTTGTCGAATTTTTATTAGCGGAACGCCTAGTCTAATTTTTTACGAGAAACATCGATTAAAACGGTAGCAGACCGAGCTTGGAGAGCAGTGCAATCGTTATCGGTAAAATAGTTGCTTGATTTTTTATTGTTTTTCTTATTAATTTTTTAATTTTTATAAAGATTATGCCTCATTTACGTGGAAAACATTGAAAAATTAAAACTGATTGGGTGTTTTTGTAATTTTTATACAAGCAAGTAATGTTCTCTAAAATATTTATGGGAAGCCCATGAATTGCCGACTAATAGAGAATTTCGTTCCCCCCTCCCCCCTTCCGGATGCCCCGTAGCTACAGAATGGATCAATGTACTGTATATTGTATTTTCTGTATTTTTTTTTGTGGTCTGTCGAAATGTTCCCCGACTCATTGCCTAGACTATACCACCGAGTAAGGAAGCTTTTCTTCAAGGTTTGTATAGGTACTATTTTACTTAGAACCACACCAATAATCAAAAAAATAAATACATTATTTTATTTTGAAAATGTTTTGTTCTAGACTTGGTAACCTTCAACTCCAGTAAAGTATAAATAAAACTTTTGCCAATTTTGAATTTCTCGTTTGTTCTTTCGGATGTGTGTAACAAAGAGAGCAAAAGTGTTGCAAAAGTGACAAAGAAGACTATAGCATTAGTAACCCGCCAGAACATAAAAAGCTGCCGAAAGAGCAGAAACAAGAGAACTATGAGAAAAAGACAAGTAAGGAAAATAAAGGTAGATAATATTAGCGATGGGAACTATCGAATGAATTAGACTATCGAATGGTTACTGAATGAATGATTTCAACTATCGAATGGTTTCATTCGAATAAAATCATTCATTCATTTGTATACTAAAGCATATGTGACAACCTCGCCGTGCGACTAAATGGTTATCGTTAAGCCACGACTATCGAATGCTTTTGATAAATGAAATTTAGTATTCGTTTGATTTTTGTCTGCGTCAGTGCATTATTAGTTCTTACAAATTTTTATAACTTGCCTTCTAAATACTGTGCTATTTTTGCGTTTATTAAAATATTTAAAATACTAAAGTAGTAGTGTTTTTTTTTTAAATTGACGATTGTGTACATGTGCAGGTGGTCAAAATTTTTCCGAAAATTTGTGTGATTTTCCGATCTTTCAATTATTTAATTTTATACGGTATATGGTCTATTTTGTTAATGGGAAATTTTGCGAAGTAACAATTTTTAAGAGAGATGAGGTGAACCTTACAATTAATTTTAAAAATACATATGTATTTGTATTTTAGATGTTTTAGTAATATATGAATTAATTGAACTTAATAATCATATTTAAGTAATGTGGTTAAGTAAATGGTTATCGAACTCAAATTTTGGGATGAGAAAATTAAATTGATTGATTAAAGTTTTACACGTGCCAATTTAAAAAAAAAGTTAACGATATTTGTATTTTGTTTATGCTAATTCTCTTACATGTAGATTTTTGCGAAGAAATATTTCATTTATTTTTTAAAAAGTAAATGCCAGTAAAAGCTAATATTATTTTTAAATACTAGTACAAAGTAATAAACATATATAATTTTGATTTCTAATTTTTTATTTATATTTTTCTTCTATTACACTGCATGCTTAGAAAATTAATAAATGTTTATATTTCATGATTTTAAAATTTGTTGTTAATATAACAAATTAGTTCTGTAATTATTATTATTTAATAAACCAACGTTGCCAAAAAATTTAGAGACTATATTATTTTTAAATAGGATCTAATATAAATAATTTTGACTTCTATTTTGTTGTTTATATTTTGCTACTACTTAAAAAAATGTTTATATTAAATGATTTTAAATTTTGGTATTAATAGGTATAACAAATTATTACTGTTATTATTATTTATTAAACCAGTTTTGCTTAAAAACATTAAAAATCATTTTCCTACATCCAAAATAAAAAGTATTATTGCAGTGTAAAAACAGACAGAATCTTAATAAAAAAATGCAAAATATATAGTCATACCAAAACCACAGGTCATACTATCCCTAACTAACTATAATACCAAAGAATAATATTCTTGCTAATACCAACTAATACGAATATACGGCAACAGCGCCGTTCATAATGTATTTTTGTGTAAATACTAGCACTTCAATAAAAAATAACGTGTCCTTTATCTTTATCTGACTCAAAATCAAAGATGCCGGCTTTTTTCATACCATTGCCACCGACCGCCGACCGCTGTCGGGTTTCTAGGAAAGAAACCTACGTCGCCGGGCGACAACTAAAATCCAATTTATATTTTATTATAATCGATCCTGACGAATAAATGAATTTTACAAATGAATGAATTTTATAAATGAATGGTTTTTGCTGGCGAATTAATATATTTCAAGGCAGATGACGCATCTATTCGATATTTTTATTCGAATAGTTTTCGACGAATGTTTTCTTACTAGCTATCGAATTATTCGAATGAATTGCAACTATCGAATGTTTCGATAGTATTCATTCGATAGTTCCCACTACTAGATAATATGATGCTTTCAAAATTGTAAAACGTTGGTAATGTCAGTATTACATATTATGTGGTTGTAAATAAAGAATAAAGGCACTTAGTAAATAAGACAAGCACTTATTTACAAACATCAGATGAGTGGATAAATAAAAGAGCTAATATCTTTCTGAAATTAGGCATGTATTTATACAATAACGTATAAGGAAAGACACATTGATAACAGTTACCTTCATATTTACATATATTATATAATCAACTTCCCTTATAAAAACAATATAACTGTAGTAAAATTGAGGTAACATCAAAAAAATTAAAAAAAAACACTTTATTCAGCTTCAACCTCCTCTCGATCCTTGGACTTCTTCTTCTTCTTTTTTTTCTCTTTTTTAGAACCCTGAAATAATGAAATAAAATTAAATAAGGACAACAACCATTTAGTAATACAAGAAAATTAATATTAACATTTAAAAAAAGGTATTTTAATTGGTTAAGTCTTTTTATAACTGACTTGTTGCAGCTCTGCTGTTTACTAAGTTTAGTAAAAAACAAAATGTCACAATATCAGCTACATAAAAAAAAACAAAGGCGTTTTTTTCAGTGTATAGATGAGTATAATTGCATAAAAGTGCGACTTCAAAGTCCAAAGGACATTTTAAAGGAGCGTTTGCTGTCACTTCTGTATATCTCAAGCCACCCGTCCAAATGCTCACCTTGTCTAACGTCGCTTAATTTCGATTTTCGAATGAAATATGTGTATCAACCAAATATACAATATTAATTTAAAAAAAACACATAAAAATTATAGTAAAACACTTACCTCCGATTCTGCCGTACTTTCTTCTGTTACTTGACTTGTACTAGTTTCTTCACTCTCTTGCTGATCCTTCTTGTGTTTCTTCTTCTTGTGCTTCTCCTTCACTGGACTCTCACCCTCCGCTGTCGCCTCTTGAAGTGACTGATCAGTAGACAGATCAGAAGTGCGATGCTTACGCTGAATAAAATTTAAATAAATAAAATTCTGACAAAAAACTAAAAAATTTTTAGAACTCACTTTCTTAACTTCTTCTGTTTGGCTGTCGACAACCTCTGTTTTAATTTGTGGTGTACTAAAATAAAAACAGGTTAGGTATCATGCCATTTTACTGTCGCGCACTAATTTTAAAAATATACCGGGTGCATCTCAAAAGTGGCTCACCCCTATAAAGTTTCTATATAAAAATTTATTAAAAACTTACGAATTTGCAGACAAGTCGACATAACTGTTTAACCATTCTTTAGGAGTGTTTTCATTGGGTCGGCCATATTTATCCAGTTCTCCTTTGGCAATAAGCATCTTTTTCTTGCTGGCTCTTTGACCTAAACCCCACTTTCTAGGGTAAGTGTCCCTTTCCATAATGACCCTTTTAATTTTTGCCACAACGCCATGATCACAGGATGCTGAAAAAATAAATACCATTAACAAAACAAGAAAATATGGAAAGAAAAACATTTTACTTCTAAACTCTTTTATAATAAATATATTCAGGCAATAATAGGGCAGAGTTGTCTCAGATCAATAGGCACAGTTGATTCAAATATATCTGTTTTAAAACCTTATAAAACTATACTATACCTATTGTGGCAGTAGTCATCATAGCTATAGCCAAAGCAACAGCCTCTCCTTTAGTAGTCACAATAACAATTTCCTCATTCAATTCAATATTGTCCTCGTATCTCAAAATCCCTGGTAACAATATTTTAGCACCATAACACACAGCATTTACTGAACTGTCCTTCATAATTATTCTTTTATGTTTAATTAAAAGCCCTTCCAGCGGTTTGATCACTCTCCTCAGATAAGACTCGTCTTTATGATTATCATACATCCATTTTGCATCGAGAACATCATGTAAAGTTGATGTATCGTCCAATTCTCCCTGAATTCCCGAACGAACCCGTCGCAATTCCAACATTTGACCACCTATAAAATATAAAAAAATATTTAAAATGATTAAACAAGACAGGGTCGCAGTAAAATACTAACCTACACCTAAAACTAAACCTAAGTGAACACACATTGTCCTAATGTATGAGCCTGCTTCACACTTAACCCAAAACACTCCCAAATTCCTACTTTCATCGTAGTCATAAAGCAAACTGTCAAATACTGTCCTCACTCTGAGCTGTCTCTTCACAGCGGATATCAAAGGAGGTCTTTGAAACAGGGCTCCTTTAAGTTTTTCCAAACCTTGTTTTACTTTTTTGACGCCTCCTTCTACTGGGGAATGTAGCTTAAAAACTGACACGTACTCTTTTCCTAAAAAACAAATTCTTTTGAATTTTTTCTCTATTAATTTTTAGGATACTGTACCTGCAGCTTGCTGACTTTTGACTAATCGAGTAGCACGCTCTATACAAACAATCAGGCAACCTAAAAAAGCACCAAAATTACAACTAAATATTTAATATAAGGTATCCTGGAAATTAACCTGTTGTTTTTGGATCCAATGTGCCAGAATGTCCAGTTTTTTCCACTCTTAAAATTCTTTTTATCCAAGCCACAACTTCATGAGAACTAGGATTGCTAGGTTTATCCAAGTTAATGTATCCAGATTTTATGTATTCAGTAAGCTCCCTCCTTAACGGACTTGCCCCGGCAGCAATTGGGGTATAATGGCTTGTTCTAACATTGAGGCGATCAAAATACTAAAAATCAATAATTCAAACAACAATACACAAAACAATATTTCTCTTTCAGCTGGCAGTATAAAACTAACCTTCAGCAAAAGGGGCCACTTGGCAGTATCTAATTTAGCTATTTTTTCGGACACTTCCAGTTGGAAATGGTTCTCTTTTTGAAGTTCTCCCAGCTTCTCCCCTTTAGATTTCTTCTTTTTTTTTGCCCCTAGCTCTACAAATTATATAGTTGTTATCATTCATGTTTTCATATATCTTTTCAATTTTCCTTGTATGTTTATAAATTCAATTTACCTGGATTTTCCATCTTTAATCAAATATAGAACTTATGGAACCCGCACGTGTTTTGAACCACCATGAAAATCGAAGCCGCAAAAATTGTTAGGTTATGTTCGTTATGATAAACAAGCTCGATTTACAGGCGTGCATTCGCTTTATATCTCTTCTGTGGAGCCTACCTGTGGGGCCTACTGGGCAATATAAAATATACTTTTGCTTCAATTAATTTAAAATAGATTACTAGAATCTTCAGCTAAACAATACATGAAAAGCAGAATACGGTAGAATACTTAAATAATACAATTTTTTATTTAAATTTAACATTTTGAAAAATTCGATACAATATCGATACACATATTACATCACTAATATCATCTACGACCATGATTAACGACCATGATATATACGACCATGATTAACGACCATGATATATACCACCATGACAAACCATGATACAAATATACGCCCTTGAGAAACAGCCTTGATAACTTTGAGGTTATATAATTATATAGGAAATATTTTGAATTTTTACTTTAGAATTTCTCTAAAATATGATTAATCTTGGATTGAATATACACAATATACTCCATAATACCAAGAGTATTATAGGTAAATCTAATAGCGATCTGTACTTTTAAAATTTAAACTACTTTTCAAATAAATTTTAGAATCCTCTGTTCGATACGCTAGTAAGAAGACAAGTGGCTCTACACGTAACACCAGCCCTAAAACCAGGCCAAAACATAGAGGCTGGAGAGTACAAGACGGGCACCAAGTAACTGCAGGCACAATTTTAGCCACACAAAGACATCTGAGGTTTCACCCTGGTCTCAACGTAAACATTTAATTTTTTAACAGATATATACAGTTCTAAATGTAAGTTTAATGATTTTAGGTGGGATTTGGTAAAAATGGTACCTTATTTGCTATCATACCTGGCAAAGTAATGATTACTTGTGAAAAGGCTGATGTTAACTGGGAGCACACCTGGGTTGAAAGATGCCACAGCCATCGGAAGGGAGTCAATTTTTATAAGAAATATTTCAACGTTATTCCCGAAAAACAACATCAGAACTTTAAGTTAATTGATCAGGTTTAGTATTCTATTATATTTATCAGTAGATGGTAGGGTTTTTTAATAAAATGTAGACTTATATAATAAAAATGAATTTATTTTTCTATAAAAAAACAATATAAAAGAAACAACAGATAGGTATTTCACAGAAATAAGTATTTAAAGGAACAGTAGTATATGGAATGTCTAGACAAATATCATTTTTAGTATCTTCAGTTATAGATATTTTACCTACATCTATACATATAAACTATGCTAAAAACTAACACAGATATTATATATTCTTTAACTGTATACATACTATAAAATATAAAATCAAAATACTGAATTAGGTATCTAAAAATTCTTGTAAATATTCTTGTAAAGATTGCTATTCTTAATTTTTGGCACAGTTATTCTTTAGTATACATCATCTAAAACATGTAAATATAATATATGAGTTTCCATAATATTTTATACAGTTCTCTATCTATTTATAAGAGAATAGAATGGTCCCTTTCCAGTCTTTGTTTAGCTTTAAGCTGAACAGATCCCATTGAATCGGTGGGCGATAGAAGCCCGTGAGATAGGGGTGCGTCTTCGTGGTAAAAAACTTCACAAGATGAGTTGTGGTAGGCGTAGATCGTTGCTTCGGGCTTCCTAAAAAACACAATCAATGCTCACTTGGTCTTCGAAAACGTTAAACCTAGTAAACGCATATTTCTTCATGATATCTACAGTTTTTTGTTCTTTTAACTCGGCTACCTTCTTACAAAGGATAGCGTTACAAATAAAACAGATGAACGCCAAACAAGATTCGGCAAACAAACCAATGTATACGAGCTTTTTGTCGTGGTCTTTGAAAGGTTTTGTAAATTCGGTAAAAATACAGACAGCAAACAGAATATCTGTAATGACGCAGTGCAAACATGTGACGGTGTAAATCAAGATAATGAGGAATCTGTGTAAAAACAGTCCCAGGGTGTAGACTATGAATGGGGCCAAATAAAATATCTTGAAACCTGCGCAGACTTGTGCGGCAATAGAGTTTTGGCGCTTGTACAAATGTAGTGAGTAATAAACATCTAGGGACAGTAAAATGGCCAATAAAACGCTGAAAAAATAGGTGACTTTTGAGAGAACAGACACGTTAATACTCATTTTAAGATATGTGTCACAAGTCACAAGTCACCAGTAATAATTGCTCATTAATAGGTATGTATTTAATTTGCTGCTATAATAATCAAAGAAAATGTCAATGAAAAAAACTTAGGTTGACCGCGAGGGGAACCAAAAATGGCCGACTTAAATTCCGGTTTATCAGTGCCGTTCTAATGTTATTCAAAACGCGTAAAAATGTGATGTAGGGTAGACTCTCACTAAATAATATGTTGTTTTATTTTACATTGGTAGTTATTAAAGTTTTTATAAAAATATATAATTCTAATAAAAATAGATAAGTTATAATAAGTATTTATAAACACAAACATCCGACACGCTACTGAAGCAGGTAAATTGGCGTATCTAAATTCTTTGACAAGTAGTAAATAAAAGCAAAAATGCCAAAAAAATATATAATTATTTAATTTTAAGTGAATTTCATAAATGATCAGTTTACATACATGTATGTATATTATATAGTCACTTACTAGCGAAAAGTAATTCCATTATTTTCCTCGATTTTTGACCGAGATCTACCGCACCCTACCCATCCAACTATTTTACAGCATTTTTCGATAAATCGCAATAGTGTCATTGTTAATTTAAGTTCTGCTACAATTTCATTCTAGATTTGCTACCTCTAAACAACTATCAGTTGTAGAATAAACAATAAATAACATCAAATAAGCTCAGTAAAGACTGACAAATCCACAAAATTTCAAATCAAATTCAAATGTGTCAAATGGATCTTCAAACGGAACTGTCAAGGATTCCTACCTTAGGACTCCATCTCCATCTACCATGCATGAATACATGGATAGCATTATACTCCTTCCTTAATCTTTTTATTCAAAGATATTACCTTATCAATATTTCGCTTATATTGTTGTCCTTTTTGAAGTCTTCGTGTACAGTGTTCAAAACGTTGTCCTCGGTCAAGCTCCAAGGGCCAGATCTTTTCACCATGTCCCATTTCTCGTCGATACTGAGCACGCTATAGGGCTCGCCCTCCGTATGTCCCGAAATTTTATTCTGCGATTCCACGACCACTCGCACATGTTTTTCTAGTTGTGGTAACCGTTCTTTACACATCTCGAGCTATTTTGAATAAAGAGATATAGTATCAATATTTGCAGTAACTGTATGCTATATTTTAATCATTGTTTAAAGTTCTGTTCTCAAGCTGAAGTACTCAGGGAAATAAGTAAATATAGAGCAAAGACATAGAGGTACCTACTAGAGATAAAAAATAAGTATCTATTAATTTGTGTTCAGCTTACAACTCTGTGAAATAGGTGAAAACATTGCAAGATGTAAAATAGATAGACATGACTGAATTTTTAGAACCCCTCTCCGTTTACTTATTTCACTAAGATTCTGTTTGATCTTGCTATTAAATTTTTGTATATCTATAACTTTTGAAACAAAAAAAATGTTGTGGATCTATCTTTAAATAGAAAAACCAACTATAACTAATTAAAATATATTTTGATAAAATTATCCTATAATAGAAAAAAAACGGCGTCAAAGACGCCGCGGAATGACAATCTATGATCATTTTGACGAGGTCAATCTCTAGATGTCATTTACTAAAAATTTACATAAAACTTAACACTTAATTATAGAAAGATTAAAAAAGGATAGAACTTTTTAAACTACACCATTTAAAAATCATTTTTACTCAAATAATAATTAATTACATATAACCTTCTTAAGGCCAAGCGCCATCAAAAAATAAAGAACACATCTAGGGCTTGACCTCGTCAAAATTATCATCGATTGTCATGCCTCAGCCGTCTTTGACGCCGTTTTTTTTCTGCGTCGTATGGTATATAAAATTTATATCGCTTACCAATCTAAAAATCGTGTCTTTATCCTTTGACACCTCCTCCTTCAAAACCAAGCTCACCACGACATCTTTCTCACCATAAAGAAACAACGCACATCTCTGAAAAGTCTCGTCTTCGCTAGCTTTAACATTTTTCGGCTTCTTCGAATTCACAGTCAATTTTGTAGAGTAATTTTGTTCTTCCAAAGCCAGAGCAGTCAATTTACTCATGAGAGGCGTCAATTGAACCCCTGTAGAATATCTGCGTCTCTCATTTGACAAGTCCATCGCTTTTAAAGGCAAAGTAAGAGATTTTCTGTGTTTGTTTGTCGAAAACTGTAAGGGTTCTTGTTTTTTGAGGACACCTTGGAAGACGTGGGTACTGGCGGCCATGCCATTTTTTCGAAAAATCGGGTAAAATGGATCGTGAACTGTTTTAGACCTTTTTAGTTTTATGCTCTTTTTTGGAGCAGGTAAAATCTTATTTTTATTGTTTGAATACTGCAAGGGATTTAGAGGAATACTGTTTAGAACTTCTGTTAAATTAGTCAAGCTAGAACCCTGTTTTGGTTCAATTTTATTAATTTCTTCAGCCCTAATTTCGTTCTTTGACTGTTTTTCTTCTTTATTTTCTTTCTGATCTTTTGGTTGTTCTGTGACGAACGTTTTAAACTCAGTCATAGGCGTATCGACTATAGAATTCTGGCCGCAGAAGGGTGTCATTGGCGTGGTCTTGTAACTGTATTGAGAATCGTTTGAATCAGTGCTGATACTCCTCAGATTCAGCGACTTTGGACGAGGTTTCTTCTGAACGGGGAGGGACGTTTCGGTGCTCGAAGGTACCTCTTCCTCAGGTACGGCGGTAAATAGTAGCGAAGAGTCTGCGTCATGGTTTTTAAAGATATGAGACTAAAAGAATAAATTTCTAAAAATGGTATGATGGTAGCATGTTTATTAGTCAGATATTTATTTAGTTGTTATATATTTAGAAAAATTGATTGAATCTTGATAGATTTTAAAGATCCGTCTACATGTAACGTTTTGCCTGTCAGTTAAAAGGGTCAGGTATGACGGATTAAAAACTAGCATATACATTGGAAGTTTAGAACAGTTTTTATTAAAGACCATGCATGGAGGAAGCACTACTTTTATCAATTATTATAGTATAGTGTTTAATAAAGTTGAAAAGAATAAAGCATGAAATTTTACTACAAAATTGTATTTATTGTTTAAATTTCATTTTTAAATACGCAAAGCTAATTGTGAAAATAGTATCGTTTGTTAATAATCATTAAGTATCTACAGGGTGTTTCAGAAAAGATGTGCAATCTCCTATGGGGAGATTCATCTTGTAAAAATAAGATTTATTTTTCATATCAACATAGGAGCGATTCTGCTATGTTTCGTAGCTACAGAGCGTTAAAATCTTAATAATCTTTTGGTTTATTATAATTTTCTTCCAAGTACTTTTAGTTATTCAAATGAAATTTTGAGTGTAAAAGTTACTATAAATTCGACATATTTTAAAGCTAACAAAGTGCCGACATATTCACCAGAGACGTGCATATGGGTATTCACTGGAATATTTTTCTAAAAAAAGCATGTACGCCACTGACTTTTTTTTCTCTTATTAGCGAAATAGTGTAAGCAGTTAAATGCCGATTAAAAGTTGTCTCTTGATATTTTGTCGATTTCGGCCTCCTTGATGAGATAAACGCAATTTTATTAATTTGCCTTGATCCAAGTCTAATAGCAACCTTTAAAAAAATGTAATATCATTAACTTGCAAAAGTTTTAAATAAGTACTCATTGATTCCTCTTCAAAAAATTAAAAAAAAGTTTCTATGAACATGGGTGCGGAAATGCATAGTTTTAAAGTTACCTAGGCCTTTTGTAATTATCTTAAATACCAATACTTTTTTAGTGAATTTCCTGTAGGTAGCACTGTACATCAGTGTTATAAGTTTTAATAAAATTTAGTAATAAATTACATTAAACAAATAATTTACTAATTTTATTTTTATTTTAATTTTATTAATTGTGATTAATAAAATTGCGTTTATCTCATCGAGGAGAACGAAATGGACAAAATATCAAGATACAACTTTTAATTGGCATTAAATGGCCTACAAAATAAGGGAAAAAAGTCAGTGTCCCTGATAAATCTGTCGAAACTTTTTTAGCATTACGATATGTAGCACCTATAGTAACTTTTACCCTCCAAATTTCGTTCGAGTTGCTAAAACTTAGAAGAAAATTACAATAAATTGAAAAAAAGGTAAAAAAAACTGTACCTACGAAACAAAGCAGAATCTATATTGATATAAAAAATAAATCTTATTTTTACATGAGGAATATCCTCACCAGAGATGGCACATGTTTTTTGAAACACCCTGTATATTTTGAGTTTACTTACCTTTTTAGTGTTTTTATTTTTTAAATACTGAAACATGTAATGGCTATGTAACGAATTCTCTAGCAAAGTACAGAATTCGCTGTTTGTTAAATAAACTTGCAGAAGTTGAATTCCTTCAGGCAGCTCAAAATCGACGTCAAGCGATTCTGCGGCATTTTTAATTCGGTACGGATCTGAGAGCACTAATAACTTTGTTGTTTCTGTAGATAATTGAGTCAAAACCACTCTACAAAAATATTCTGGACATATTTACATGTATTAGAAAGTCAAGGGAAATAATTTAAAAATTGCATACTTATTGTGGTAGAGTATTGTTCCGCCTAGTACGTTCGAGAATTCTCTGCAACTTTCCAAAAATGTTGAAGCTTCAACAATTGTAGAGCTACTTTTACTCTAAATATAAAGTATTTAACAATTAATAAAAAAATTCATTCATAATAGAATATACAGGAGTCTACAACAGTGCGTCAAAAAAAAAAGACTAGGAATTTTGTTCAAGTAAGTGTGAGTGTATTTGAATGATTTTTTTTTAAATGGAATACCCTGTGTGTTACTGCTCGTTTTGCTTTCTTTCTGAGCATTTTACATAATCCTGAGATATTAAATTTGTTTTGAGACTTTCAGAGATATTAATAAATAAATAAAAAAGATCAAACTTTTTTTTAATGTTAAAAATACAAGAAATTCCCTGGCATTAAAACTCTAGTAGCTATTTACAATAGTTGGTCTGTCATACATCAAATCATACAGGGTGTTGAAAATGTCATGCCAAACTTTCTCAAATATGAAATAAATGTTCTTCGTTTTTTTTTTAATGGAACACCCTGTATATTATTTTTTCTTAGATAGGGTATTAAAAAGTGAACAAAATGTTCAATGGTTTTGCGAGGTATTGGCGGTATTATATTACATATGGCTTTTTATCAGTAAATTTTTATCAAACCTACCTAATGATTTTTTACTGGAATTTTACCTTTGAAAGAAAAAACTATAAAATACTTTAATTATCTATCTAATAAAACAATAATATACAAGATGTTCCATTTAAAAAAATAACGAAGAAAAATTAATTTATATTTTACAAAGTTTGGCATGGAATTTCGAACATCTTGTATTATTTATCGTCTTCCTGTAAGATTACAATATTTATAATATAACAAGAACAGACCAGCTATAGTAAGTACCTAGTATTGTTTTAATTTCACAAAACATCTTATAGTTGTAATATTTTTTTTAAAAAAAGGCTGAAATTTTTTTTATTTGTATCTCTGAAATTATTATAACGAATTTAATAACATCTTAGGACCACGTAAAGTGAATAAGAAGGAAGCCAAAAAAGCATTAATATACAGGGCGTTCCATTTATATAAATAAATAAGTAGATATTTTTCAAAATTTTTTCTGATTTTTTACAGACGCCTGACATACTGTTGCAGGACTCTGTAGAATGTTTACCTTGTGAGTTTGTAGTAAATATACTTGATTGAAAATGTTTCCTCCGAATAATATAATTTTTAAATACACATCGAAAATATAATACATTTTAACAGCCAACGCTTCATTCTGATATTTAGTAGATAAATTCACGAAGCTTTTATGATAGAAATTTAACAAAGAATATACTATTTTACTCCGATGTTCCAGAATCCAATCCGGAGTATTCCTATCACTGCCAATCGCCTGTAATAATTTTTTAAACAGCAATTACGCTTAAAATAAAGCATATTTATTTTAACTTACTAAAATGTACCTCTGGTTTTCTAAAAAATAAAACTTTCCACTTTGAAGAGCGACGATTTTAGGGAACGAAAATAGACCTCTGAGACAAAGAATTGTTCCCATTAATTGCCCACACAACGCCGTTTTTTGTTCGTCTGACACCCAAGTAGGATAGAAATATAAAATTGCTGAATTTGGATCATCTTCCTCTTTCTTTAATAATTCAGTATCGTACACAAATATAATGTTTGTTTCTCTATAACAATAGAGAGATTTTTAGCATTAAATATTGTTAATAGAAAGCAAAAAAAGAAATATTTTAAAAATAAGAAAAACAACTTATAATCTAAAATATTTTAATTAAACAAAAAAAAAGTAAAAATAATGTATTAAATTCTCTAGCATAATAATCACAAACCAATGAAAATATTAAGATGCGACTTACTTTGCCATTTAAATGTAGTTAAGTGGTAAACTTGGTGTAAATTTAAATAACTACTTATTTTATTTAAAATTACATATTGTTTTTTTTAAATATAAATGATATAAACGTCAATTTTTCTTAACCTCGAATAGTGATAATCAGCTGATTAGTTAGGAATGTTTCCTCCAAAAAATCGATTTTGAAATTCCAGGGATGGGATTTTACGTTTTTTTTGGTTGGTGGAAAATACATGTAGTATAGTGTTGTGTAGTATACATGTATAAAAAAGCTAGTTTTTTACGTTCGGTTTTTTTGAATCTATTGCTACGCTTTTGTTCCATTTTGGTGTAAAATACATAAAAACCATCGATATTTGCATATAATGATCAATTAAATGAATAAAGTAAATACATAAATGCTCTGTTTTTTGCCATATATTAATATACAAAATAAGTTAATCTATATAAGGTTCATTTTACAATATAATGCTATAAAACTATGTAAATAAGTTTTTAAGTTTTTCTTTATCTTCCAAGTTCTTAATCTTTTGAAGATCTTCTAACTTTAGTAACTCTTTTTTTGCTAAAGGAATTAGAGTTTTGTCCAACTCCATTACTTTTTCCAAGTCTTCTTTTGCTTCTTTTGGGTTCCACGCTGCGATATGAGCCTTGGCACGACGAAAATACGCTTTTACATTATCTAAAATATTCTTTCCATTACTAAAAGTAAAAAAAAATATATTTTACCTATACCACTGTCATATTTTAAAACTTCTGTGCAATGTGTAATTACAGGGTAGTAGTCTTCTTCATTTAACTTGCACTGTGCAAAATTAAGTAAAATCGGTAACTTCTGTTCGTTTAATTTGTTCCAGTCACTATCGTGAGGTTTTTCTCTGAAAAAAAAACAGCAAAGAACTGCATTCTTTATATCACTATAAAATTGACTCACTTCAGCATTAATTGTTCCAAAAGTCCTATTGCTTTTGCATACAATTTACTAGCTTCTTCGTAGTTCTTTTTATTATACTGTTCATTTCCTTCTGCTTTTAGTTTAGGTACAATATCTATTCTCTCGTCTGTATCCATTTGCCATGTTTCTTTTTCATATTCGCCTGGCTGTTCAACTTTAACAATTTCTAAAAATATTGACAAGTAAATCAATGTTTATTTTAATATCAATATAAAATACCAATTATAAATTCTAAATCCTTAGGGCTTTTTAATAGGTCATTTAAGTCATCATACCCAATTCCTTCAGTTTGAAGAGTCATAGCACAAGAATGTTTATTTTTATTTTTATCTGGATAAGCAATGTCTCTAAGGGTTTTTGAGACAAACGGATATTCAACTACAAGCTGTATAGTAATATTTTACTTCTACAAAATTGGTTAAAAAAAACTAAAACATACAGACTTGTCTACAGTAAACTGAGCTACTTCTCCCAATGCCATTTTCTGTAAAATCGCTTCCCAAACTTCCAATTTGAACTTTTTTCCCAAAACAATTTGCATTGGCTCTTTTTTTCCTAACGTTCTTGAATCATCTATTATCGTATTCTCTTTATCGCACAGTTTCGTTTGAAAATGAAAGTAAATCTATAAAATATTACACTTGAATAAATATATCTCTTCTGGTTGTTTTTGTTTACTAACTTTTGTACCATCTTTAAAATCTATTGGGGCTCTTCCAGCGTGCAACACTCGTTTAACAATATATTCTTTGTTATCGGACATAATCAACTAATGAATTGCTTCTAGAGAAATGTCCTTTTACTGCTTTTTTTAATATTTATAGATAGAATCAAGTATAATATGGGTTTATCTTTGTGTTCTTTGTGTTTGTATTTAGAATATTTGTTTTTGTTTTTGAATCTTGACAACTGACTACTATTGCTGTACTTGTTTATTTTTGTTGTTGTCTTTGTCTAATAATTAACCATAGATTATAATCTAGACACTCTCTTCTTGATTGATTTTACAGCCTAAGCTGTCAGAACTATACGGTCAATACTAGCCGAATAACCTATATAAATTCAAGCCAATTAAAAGAAAAGAAGAAAAACTATATCAAAACTATGGGTGTCTATGTTTCGAGCCATTATTTTCAAAAAAGAAGAAGAATGCATATGGCGCCATTATGGAAAAAGTGAGAAAAATTTGAACTAAAATTTTATGATTTATATTAAGATCTTTCTTAACATTAATTATGTCTTTAATCTTAATACTATATTATGCTTTGTCTGGAAAATAAATGTTAGAATATATTAATCTTGCATATCCTTCCATCCTTCAATTAGGAAAAATATGGTTTATAAATCATATATGCTAAAAAAATTACATAAATTAGGTGTAAGAATAGAAAAATCTTAACAAGGTAACTGTTAATGTTGCTGAAGGTGATTCTACAGTTTTAATTACGGAGGCTAAAAAACCATTTTAAGGCCTTCGTAGTTTTAATGGAATGTTAAGAAAAACTTATTATGAACATGATATGGAGCTACAGCATTTAAAAATTAAAAAAAAAAGAAACTTGGACACATATCCCTTTTAATTTTCCGAATTTTTAAAAAAGCACTTTTTAAACGTAGCATAATAACACAAATAATCTAAGCAATTAGATTAGTTGTAGGAATCTACAGTTTTATTTCTATTTAATTTTATTGACTATGAAAATACATAATAAGCGTTCACGTGTTGTGCGAAATATTAAAATAATAATATAAATAATACCGTAGGTACTATATGATCGAAAAAAAATAGCGTCAGCAATGACTATGGAATGAAGATCGCTATCATTTTATATGTAAATTTATGGGAAATGTACTCAATCGTCATTTCCCAGCCAACTGGACGCCGTTTTTTCGATCATAATTTGTACTTATTAATATATTTTTTCTTGTAAATAAAGGATTTTTCAGCTTAATTAAATTTCAAATTTGAAAAATGTGGCGTCAAAAGTTGAACAGATACATCCGGTAAGAGCTGTCAACATCGAGTCAAGTTAAAGACTTGTGAAGTTATTTTTTTATATAATTCATATAATTTATCTCATATTTCTTACTATTTAACTATATAGAATTAGTTTCTTATTAAACTCAGTTAAACTAAGGGAAATTTATTGAATAAAAGCACTTGTTTCTTAATAATTTATTAAAATATTACAGAAATGCATGATTTTATAGTTCATCTAATTATGTGCCCACCAGATAATTTCAATATAAAATAAGTTTTGTATGATATTTTATACTGGAGGGAATAAATACAAATAAAGACAAATCATTTAATTAATTTAAGAAGCATATTCTACTGAAATTTTAATAAAAACCATCCATGTTTATTAAAAAAAGTTAAAATCTTTGTTAAAATCGAGGAATCCAAGAGCAAAAAATTCTCGATCGTGATTGGTCAGTTTCGGTTGCCTGGAGGTTTTGAATTTTATTATCGTTCGATGTTGCCGGATTGTTAAAAAATGTCGAAAATCTTTTTCTCTATGTGATTTTTGTGAAATGATATTAGTTTAAATTGATCACTGGCACCATAAACTGGCACTATAGTAACGGTTATTTCTATATTTATATTTTTAGTAAAACAAGTACCAGTAATGTTGTTTTGTACAAATTTCTTTTATTTCTTCTTGTAATAATTACGTACTAACATTATAGTCTATATTCTTGGTTTCGATGTATTTATAGCATTAAAAATGTATTTAAACAGCTTCATTTTATGTTTATTTCATGACTTTTGTGTGTTTATGTTTATAATTACTTATTTGTTTCTTATTTATGACAATAAAAATATTTTGCCTTACGTAAAAAAAGCGATTTCAGTGGAACGTATTGAGTAAATAATAACTTTTGAGAACAAAATTAAGCTTAATTTACAAGAATTTTCCTATAAATAATATTACATATTATTATTAGAAGGTTATTAGTGATAAATTAATTTTATGAGCAGCTTAAATTTTACGAATGACTTCAATCTGGCAACGCCGGTCCTGCTAGTCGTTTGCAATCGAAGGATCCGTACGTCCTCACGTCGGTTGCATCGATTTTTTAAATTTTCTGACGAAAAAGTGCATTTAGTGTACACAATTTATGCGTAATCTGTTACTAGTGCCCTGCTTAGCCTCCTGAAAAAGTGAGTACCCGTAATTTTATGTATTTTTTGAGATATTTTAGTTTAACATTTTTGGATTTCGCAATATCCATCATGGCAGCCTTCTTCTCAATGTTCCCCATTAAGTTATTAATTTTTAAGAATATTGTTTAAATAATATACGTAGATTAATAAATAAGTATGTAAAACTATGTATTTTCGGTACTTTCTATACTGCGTGTTACATAAGGGTAAAATAATAGTACATTTTTGGTAAATTACGTAATGTATCTTTGACTTTTTGTTTAATTTTTTTGGTCAAGGAATGTTTAAATAAAATGGCCGCCTGTTGGAATTCGATGTTTTAATTTTTTGTAAATTGCTATTTTTATTTTAAATTTCTTTTTATAGGGCATACTAGAGTTTTCTTTATTTTTTAAAAATATAATATGCGCATTTTAATAATATTTTGAATGAGTAGGTTTTAGTATTTAAGTTTTAAATAGGTAGGTTCATTAGGAATTTTATTACGTATTTTTTTTTATTTAAGAATCTTACATATTTATGTTTCAGCATTTTTGTAATGATTTCTGATATTGGTATTTTAAAATATATTTCTCTTTTAAAGCGCGTTATGTAATATTACATGTTAAAAAATAGCATTAATGTTGACAAATGATTTTTGCTAATTCAGTATTACTTGTAAATTTGCATTGCAGAAATACCTAAATCAATTGTTACTGAGTTTTTATAAAAATTAAAATATTTCGAAAACAGTAAGTATGATTATTTTGAGGTAAATTTTGATCGAATGTTTTTTGTCTTCGTAGTAGAAATTAAAAATGTAATAAAATATATAGGATGTCTCATTGTTAAAAAAATATAACTTTAATATTTTTTATTTATTTGAAACACTGTAGGTTTAACTTTTAGTTCTAAATAATATGTTACAACTCTAAAAACTCCTTGTGTATTTTTATTTTTTTATGTGTTACATCATGGAAAAATTCTTTGGATTTTGACCATATTCATCAAATTTATATCTCTTTTTTCCCTAGATCATAAACATCTTTATGTTTTTGACATTTTTGGTATAATAATCAAGTAAAAATCATATAAAATATTGCTGAGGTATAAATGGAGAATCTCTTTTTTCATTTAAAATAAATATACCTATTTATATATTGCCGTAATATTTTTATAGGTGTTCGATAATATTTTGATAGGTATCCCAATATTTTTTCTTTTTGTAGGCGCGTTATATTACTACACCACACATTCCTTCCCCACTCACACGAGCGTTGCTAGCTCTCTGTGTTGGTTAATAAAATTTCCTAATTCAAAATTAGTGAATTTCGTTAGCTGATGCGGTTGGTTAACAGTGTTTTTGTCGGTGTGGATCCCCGGCTTAAGATGACTCCAAAGCGCGGCGCGGCCTTCCCCAAGAGAGGAGACTTCTTGGGTCACCCCCTAACCCTGATGTTCGGGCATCGATGACCTGTGTAGCATGCAGAGGTACCCAAGGGAGTCACCACCCTCTGGTTTACGAGCTAGGTGTTCTAATGCTAGAGGCTTCGGCCGGATACAACCTGGCACCCAAGCTCCGAGACTTCTTCGTGCACGTATTCCGTGACCCTCGAAGAGGCAGGGGGCGGGATATCGGACACATTGAAGATGATGAGGGGGGTCCGCCTGTAGGGGGTCCCGGTGGATGTCTGTCCGACGGGTGACGAGGGTGACCCCAGACGAGGCGGCTTAATTGGGATGGGAACTGACTGGTGAGGCTTAATCGTCGACCAATGGGTCGAATCTGCATAAGGAAGGCAACCAGCACACACTCGCAGGCGGGTCGTGGAAACATTTTTTTGTTTTTTTCTCTTGGTCTGCCCCGCGTCGAATTTTGAAGGCAGAAAATGTCGGTAGGAGGCGAGCATAACCAGGCCTAACTTAAACCTGTTAAAAGTAAGTCTAATTTTTTTATATTATATTAAATTTGAAACTTTTACTGTACTCTCTACCAAATAACTTTTTTATCGCACCATGTAGCAATCAAAATTCTTTTTATATAAGTGTTTTGTATATTTTAGTTTTTTTGTTTTAACATACATAAGCTTCAATTTAAAGTAGAATAACTTGTTAAAGTAGAATAACTTGTAATAATAATTAGAGTTTAAAGTAGAATAACTTGTAATAATAATTAGAGCAACTTTTTTTAAAACTTATAGTAGAAATAAGTTTAAATTCTAATTTAACTTTTGTAGTTACTTATATAACTAATTTTTTTTCATCCTTTTAGGACAACCCGGGTTCGCAGCGCGATTTTAAAAAACTAAGAAGTCAGAAATTCTATCTACATGCTGAATATGATCAGTCCCAAAAAATTTCGGATTGTTCCAGGCACCGTCGAATACCTGGAAAACGTGCTTATTGTCAACTCTACAGGATCGACCGAAGTCCATGGAGTTGGGGGCGTTCGATGTGCCCCATAGCAGTGAGACGCCACTGTTTTTTTCGCCGTATAATTATTATGGTGGGACTGAAAATGAACTTAAGCAAGATGAGATGGTGAGTTTTTATATTTTTACATTGTTTTTTTTTGTTGTCTATGGCTTGTTTTTTGTTTCTTCTTGATTATGTATTTGTTAGAAATATTCTAATATTATTTTTTTTTCTCTTACAGGTGATACAGTATGGCTTGGAGAACTTCAAAAGTCGGTTCGCGTCGTGGTTCCAAAGTAGTAACTTTAGGTTCCCTACATTTACAGAATGTCGCATTAAGTACTCATTTATTAATTTGCAATTTTTACATTTCATTTTTACTTTTTTTCTTACTCTATACAAGGCTTTAATATAAGGTTTTTTAGTAATAATAAATGGGTAATAAAAAAATAACTCCAAAGACATAAAATTAGGTAGCATATTGTTTTTCTATTATATTTGGAAATAACTGTTTTTTGTCTTACTTTAAAATTGATAATATTATTTAATTTTTTTAATAGTCATTTTTAATTAAACGTAAATTAGTAAATAATGTAATTTTACATTATAATGAGAATTAAAGTATTAGTATTTATTTTTGTTATTAAAATTAAATTCAGTTTGTTCCTGCATAAATCTTCTTAGTACTAAACTGCTTTGGAATGATTTTTTTTGGGGGACAACAGCAGGATTAGGGCCATCTTCTAGATGCCATCAGGTAAATTTATATAACTTTATATTTATCATTTTCTTTAACTAAAAAAAGTGTTTTTCTTTTTTTAGGTAGGTGCGCTAGCGTAGTTTGTTGTAAAATTATATCCCTTTTCCCCCTTTTTAAAAAATGTTTGTAAGACGCCTGAAATTTGTATAAGTTAGTTATATTAGTAGTTGAATAAGAATTGGTGAGACTTGGAAAATAGAAGAGGGACAGAGAAGATGGAAGAGGATTGCTTTGAAATAGAAGGAAAGGAGATAGAAGATGTTTGAGGAAAGGAGGAGGATTGTGTTCGCTGTAACGGAAGTTTTTTGAAGGAAATTTGGAACAACTGTATTAAGGTAATTTTTTTCATCTAGTTACAGAAAATAAATACTTATCACAACTTTTATTTTTTTATAGATGCTATTGGTATCTCGGACATGAAGTTTCATTTATTTATGCATTATACAAGCATATCTGTTGGTGGAAATGTGGAATGACAGCTGTTATAACAACTTGGATGAATTATTAGAAACATCAAAGAAGTTTTGACATAATTTAAACTGGGAAAAGGCTCACAAATGACCACTTTATTCTACAGTAGATACAGGACATTAAATTGACTTCAACAACGCAGATATCTCTCAAAAATGGTAAGTTTTTTTCACATTATTTTCTTTCCTATTAAAGTTTTTAGAAAGCTTGGAAGTTATGACATATTTTACACATAATGTGTATATTTCAATAACTTTAGTTGCAATATTTAATTTTAAATTTATTAGGAGAATTTTTTATTCAAATCAATTTAATTTTGTATTTTGCCTATCAATATTGATATTACGATGTTTTCTTATTTATTTTAATTTTCTACATTGATACAAATTAATATACTTATTAATATTTGTTTATTTTTTTATTTATAGATATCTGTTTGAGTGATGTACTAGGCGTTAACAGTTGGCTATTACAAATCTGCAAATGAGTTAGAACTGTACATAAGTTTGATGAATGCCGGAGGAATTTTTTGAATGGAATGATACTGAAAATCTTACCCACAAATGACAATTTCCACTAAGAAAATGGTAAGTTATTTTTATTTTTTTATTATTTTTTATGGCTACAATTTTTGTATTTAACTACAAAAGTGTAGGCTTCAAATTCAATATAAAGTAAGTTTGAGATTGAAAATATATTAATATATTTTTTTTTCAATCATTGTAGTTATTTACAAATTTGTATCAGACAATTTTAATTTTATTTAATATGTTTTCTTTTTCTAAAAATCTATGAATATTTGACAATATTTTAAAGATCGAGTTACAATTGCGTTTATTTTTTTAATATCTACCTAAACATATTTTTTTATTCCAAAATGTGTGAAGCAACTGACTTTATAAAAATTTACTTATTTATTTTTTGTATTTTTAGTAAGCAATACAAATTGGTATTAATGGACGTTTTGACAGCTGTTTCCAGTCCAAGTTCCACTTTTAATGGAAAATCTTTAATGGACACAGAAAAATGTCATTTACTGGATTGACTTCAACACCTATTGCGGTATACCCCTGTTGCCTTTTAATATTGGTGTGATATTGGTAAGTTATGCCTCTCAACTTATTCTTATAAAATTTAAAAATCTTATAAAAATATTAAATTTTCCATCGTATTCAAGCTCTTTTGGTCCAATATTAACATGCTCTATTTTTTTCTGTTTTATTTTTAACTAAAACAATAATAAAAAGGCAGGACAAAATAAAATACAGACACTGTATTACTGGTTGCATAAATTGCGATCTTGGAAAAAATGCAGTTTTTAAATCTGGTTTTAATAATTATTAAAGTTTCCACTAAGATAAGCACAATAAAATTAGGGTATGGTAAATATAAGTTCATTTTTCTTATTTTGATATTTTTAGTACAGCAGATACCTTATTTATATTTTTTTTGATCGTTAAAACCGCTAATATTAATATAAAAATTATAATTATTTTTTATTAGAGTCTGTTTAAGATCTTTATTCTTTGAGACTTATTTAAATTGGTATAATAGCCATATATTTATGATTTTACATACATAGTTCTAAACAAGTTCTAAAAAAGTTTTATTTTGTTTTTAAAACTTGATTTATTAAAAGATTACTTAATACTTTTTTTGAATTTTAGGTATACAATGGGACAATAATTGTTGTTAGAAGTCAACAAGTAGTACTAGTTGCAAATAATATATTATGGCGGACATCAAAAAGCTTTAAATGGAATGAAACTTGCAGAAAAAAACTCAGAAAGACCATTTAGGACTGTACTTAATAGCTGTTAGAGTGGATGCAGTCCTTTATCAATGGTAAGTTATTTATCAATCTTATAAAATTTCATTGGACTTTTTAAAATTTTCTAATATTCGAGCGCTTTTGTTCCAATATTAGAACAGCCAACAACTATTAAAAATAGGCAGGACAAAATAAAATGGTGATACTGTATTACTGGTTGCATATAGTTACGGATTCCATGGGTCTGCTAATTTAAACTCACGATAAAATACTTAACGGATTTATTTTCTCACAATTTATACTGATTACGACACACAATTAACTATTTAAAAAAATCCTTTGCCAAATTGTCAACATTCGCTAGTCAAAACTATTTGGTTTGAAATTACAGAACTCGTCACACACACCTTGACGATATTTTTAACAATCTCTTGTTTTCAAAAATCTTCCAAAATTAGTATAGTAAAAATTTACTTAATATTTTTTTGGAATTTTAGGTGTACGATGGGACAATTGCTGTTAAAAATCCACAAGCCATACTATCTGCAAATATGGTGGGCAACCAAAAGCTTTAAATGGAATAAAACCTGCAGGAAAAGACTCAGAAAGACTATTTAGGACTGTGCTTAATAGCTGTTAGTGTGGTCGCAGTCCTTCATCACTGGTAAGTTATTTATCTCTTTTTTCTTACTAAATTTCATCGACAAGCTTGAAAATTATGATAAGTTTTCATAATATTCAAGCTGCACAGGTCTCTGAGATCTATTCCTATATGTCATTTATTAAAAATTGATATAAAAACTTGTCAAAAATAATATTTAAATGAAAAAAAGGAAAAAGGTACATACCAATTATTATTCAAAGGTGAAAACCTTAATTTAAAAAAATATGAGCTTTGAATTTTTTTAACATTTCATTCTTTAATTTTTATAAATTTGTATACCAATTTTTTATAAATGGTAGGTATATTGTAGTCTACCTGGCAGAAATAATTGTCATCAACTGTTATTTCAAAAGGCACTATACTATAATGCTGTTTTTTTTCTCATAGGGTATATACAAATTAATAATTTAAAAAACATAGTTATTGCGTTAATAAAAATATATTTATTTTAATTTTTACATCGATTGTTTTATTCATTTTTTTAATATTATTTTTATTTTATTTTTTAGATATCTCCGCATTTTCCTCCTTGCTTCCCTCTATCACTCAACATGAAGCAGACTCAATACTCCACAATGCCTCACCAAGGTTCGTTAGTTTGATTAATTGTGTTATTGTTTCAATAAATTTGTTTATTGGTTTTTATCCTCTTACTATATAATTATATCAGGCGTCATTTTAATGTTAATTTTTTGTAAAATTTTGATAATCTGGACAGAAATCTTTTTTTTTCTGAAGCTCTTAAACACTAGTTAAGAACAATACTTTATTTTATGAATAGGACGATTATCTCTGTTTATATTGCCTTTATATTTATTTATTTTGATGCTCTATTTATTATCTAATTGCCTCTAGTTTGAGGCATGTTTGATTAATTTTAAATCATTAAAATCTCTACATTAATCTTTATAAAAAATATGTTGAGCAATGTAATAGTAATCTGTTTTAATTTTTCATCTCTTATGCTTTTTTTCAATCTCATTTATCTTTTATTTTTGCATTCATTAAAGGTCATTAGATATTGTAATTATTATTAATTAAATTGTTAGTTGTATTATAACGTAATATTTTTTTAATAGAATTAAAGACATTATTAATAATTTTGTATCATTACCAATTATTTATAGTAGTAGTTCTTTAATTATTTTTGTCTTGTACTGTTTATAATTTCCTAAGCTACTCTAAATTTATTCCAGATTATCAAAATTATAAGTTTTATACTTGCGCAGCTGCGTCACTATAACTCTATGAACACATCAAGTAATATTTTGGTTCTAAAGTTTATATTTTTTAATATTTTATTTATTGTATTAACACAAACTAAATTTTATGGAATTTATCTAGCTATATCTACGATCAGGACTTAATCATTCTTTATAAGTTCTGGAATGATTATTTTTAGTAAAATAATCCATTTTGTTAATACTTGTGTTCATATATTTTTTTTTTTGCTTTTGTGAATTATTTTTGGTACCCTAGGACAGCGGCGTGCATCGAGAGTGATAATGGCGGTAATTACCCTTCCCAGAAAGAAATTTAGAAATAAAATAAAAATAGTTACAATTCCAGTTTTTTTTCACAGTTAAAAAAAACTTTTTAGCAAAAATTTAATTTGAATCTACTAGTTTACTTAAATATTGCCATTGCCCCTCCCAGACCCAATTTCTAGATGCGCCACTGTCCTAGAGACAGATGTTTTTTTCGTGATTGATCAATTTTCATGATTATAAAATAATATTTTTTTCAAACGCCACGAAGTATAAATTTTTGCTACGTGATTGACGATATAAAAAAATCATTTTAACGCCTAGGCCATAAAAGTACGAAAAAATATATTATTAAACTGACATGTGTGAAACTATGTCAAATTTAACAAGCGTAATCGTAGTTTCTGGATATATAATTACTTTTTTTTTCATAGCAACTGTTAAAATTGCCTTATATATGTATCTATCAAAAATAGTAGATAAAATAGAACTTTAACCGCAAGAGTAGATTAAATGATACTTTAACAGCGAGGATAGGTTAAAAACTTTATTTCTTCTCTTTATATATTCATTTTTGTATTCTTTTTCATAAGTTATTCGGGATTTAAATGGAAGTAGTTTGGATATGGCGTTTGTCGCCTCAGCCTGAATATCTGTTGGTAATTTACTTATTTCGTTTTGAGCCATTTCTGGCACCAATTCAATCAGCAATCGACACGAAAGAATATTAAAAAAATATTGACTCAAAACTGACAATTAAAGAGACAGCTTTATTTATTTGTCGAACTACATAGAAACCAACGCCAACCCAGCACAGTATTTTTTCTACTCGTAATAAATTCCTTGAAATAATAATTTCTGAATATTTTTTAAAACGTAACTCGCTATGGAAAAAAATATTGTTTTATACACGACGATAAAATTGCATTTTCGTCTCCCGAAATAAATTCACACGCGATCGAACGTACAGCCTTGCCACAAAAAGTATCATTTTTACTCCTAATAAATCGACATATATAGTCTATAAAATGAATAACTTTTGAATTTTGACCGTTATTTTTTACCAACATGGCAAATATAAAATCCCTCTATCAAAAAAATTACTGATATACTTTAAATTGAGGGCCTGAACGAATCAGATAGGTAACTCTTTTTACTTTCGTGAAATAGAAAAGGAAAATAATAAAACAAGTGACAGTTCTTCCTCTTCTTGCAAAAATCAAAACGAAATGTCATAATTGACAAAAGTAAAATGTCATCAGCTTTTGACATTTCTAAATATTAGACCAATGCCGTCTCTAATAGAACAGCCACAGAGCGAGATTTATGACGTCACGCTAGTTAGATACTACGGATTAATAAATATGTTGTAGAATACATGGAAAACGTAATCATTCCTCGTATTTTTGGTTTGTATTTTAAAAATGATATAGTTTACATGAAATATACATAATATACAGTTAATAAATACAATATAATATATACCTATTTATAGTAATAAATACTTTGGCAAATAAACTATGAACCATACAAATGTAAAATATATTTTAAATTTTGGGGTTTGAAAATCGATCTAATTTAACAAAAAACATTCAATATCTACTAATAGTGTATTATTATTTGCAATCACAAAATTTATTTATATATTATAATGTTTACTGCAATTAATAAACTAATATAAACTTGTCAAAAGATGACCATATATTTTTTTAAATTATTATTCTTAACACAAAAACTATCTACATTGACTATGGAGTACGATTTCAGCCATATTGTAAAACATTTGCTGCATTTGTATGGTTTATAATTTATCTGCCAAAGTATTTATTACTATAAATAGGTATATATATTGTATTTATTAACTGTATATTATGTATATTTCATGTAAACTATATCATTTTTAAAATACAAACCAAAAATACGAGGAATAATTATGTTGTCCATGTATTCTACTAAGTATTCTACAACATACTTATTAATCCGTAGTATCTAACTAGCGTGACGTCATAAATCTCGCTCTGAGGCTATTCTATTAAAAACGGCATTGCGTCAGCATGGCCGCAAGTTGATAACCTAATAAAATTAACACTAGAAAAGCCCGCGGGAACTGTCAAATTCAAAGTTATTCGTTTTACAGACTATACCTACTATTTTGCATTGTTTTATAATATCATGTGTAAGATAGTCTATCCAACGAGAGGATCCATGACAGTGACAGTTGTGTTTGTCATTTTAATTAACAGGTAAATTGTATTTGCTGTCATTTTTAAGGATATCTTCTGTCAAAATCTTCTTCGGCTCGTTGGACAGACTATATAACGTAAGCCATTTTGTATGTATTTGTAATAATAATAATGTAATAATTGTAATACAGCGAAATGGAACAAATTCGATAATAAATAAATAGGAATAATATGTCGTCAAAAAGGCTTGCACACGTCGACTGACATTTTTAATTGCGCATTTCATTCAACAAAGACTTTTTATACAGGGTGTGTCATGAAACAGTCGCTAATACCGATTTTTATTGTATATTCTAAAATCTAGCGCATCTGTCATAACATAATACAAATTAACTTAACAACTTTATTTTATTTTTTACATATAACATTGCTATTTGTCCTAATTTTAAACAAACATTATACTACTTATTTATATTTTTTTCTATTTTTTGATTTTATTTTTGATAAATAAATAAAAAATAAAGAGTTTTGGTCAAGTTTTAACTTTAAATTAGCAAAAATGTCATAAGCTCTCAATTGTTACAGTTATTGGTAAAAACATTTTTAATGTTTAAATAAGACACCCTGTATATTAGAGTGTATTAAATAGCACATTTTTTCAGATTTTAAAGATTATCACACATGCTTTTTAATTTTAACAGTGTAAAAATGTTGTAAGTTGTCAATTTTGTTAATGTTATTGGTGTGAAATGTATGTTTTTAAAACGAGACACCCTGTATACTAAAGTAAATATACATTTAATGTATCACAAATATATTACACATTCTTTTATTTTTTACAGACAGTGTATATTCATACTGTGTTGTATATTATACAGATAGTGTATATTCATTCATATTGTATCTAAATATTCCAGGATCGCCTAGCGCATTCGCCATAATATAAAATGAGCGAAACTAATTTATTTTAATCATTTTTTTAAATAATATTTATTATCGCATTTATTCCATATTCACTCTTCTTACCTGAAGTTTTGTAGTTAACTAACTAGAAGTACATGGGGCACCATCTGTTTATTATAGCATTTCTTTTTTAATATTTTTTGTGATATTTCAACTTAAAACTTTGTGTTTGACGTTAAAGATATTTGCAAACGCTTCTTAAATATAAGGTCGGATAAAAATTCAATCTTTTTTTTTTAGTTGAATATTTCATTTTGTGATTTAACGATAATTAGTTAGTTTATTTCAGTTTAGAGTATTTTTTATCGCTAATGCATTTTCTTTAGGTACTTAATATTTTTAGCTTATTGTTACTATTGTTACTTTACCTTGTTTCTTAATACAAAATGTAGATCGTTGTAAAATATTGAAAATTACCTCATTAGAATAACAATAAAAAACAGAGTTAATAAAAAATATATATTTATTGATTTTTTCATCTAATAATAAAGTACAGTATAATTCATATAAAATTATATTTTGTTAATAAATATATGGATGCTACATGTACATACATCTAATTGTTGTTTTGCAGTTGTTTCTAATTATTCTGTATTTATGTAAAACTTAACTGTCGCATTTTTCTTAATGTTAATAATGTTTTTCTTAATGTTAATATAATCAATATAAGGTGTTTTTTTTTAGTACAAATATTTAATTAAATAATTTAATTTGCAAACTAAGGTAATTGTTAAATTATAATATTATATATTTTTGTTGCTCTAATTTTTAGATGTTTTTGATTGTGCTAAAAGAAAAAAAGATAAAACACTCCTCAATTTGATTGAATACACCTAATATTGATTATAAATATGTATTATTGTCTCCTATTTGCTGTGGTTATCAAACTTTTAATTGTATTTTTTGGGTTTTTGTAAGTTAAGATGATTTGTTGGTTGCCTATTTTTTCTAAAAATTTTTTTTAAAAACCCCAACAACTTACTATCAGTTGGATCTTATAATTGTTTTTCTTTTATTAAATAATTGTAATATTTTTTTTTTAAATTTTATATGATAATTTACATATACTGTATACAGGGTGACCCAGTATGCCGAAAAATCTTCAAATCAAGTTAATATTTTTTTTCCTCATTTTTTCTTGTAAACTGTTTTAATAGATATACTTTTGTTTTAATAGATATTACACGGTGATTCTACTATAATTTTACACTTGATGTTGCAGTTTTTTAAATGGGAAGGTTTATAATCTTGTTTGCTCTGTAGATTTACTATAGAAATTTTCAAATTTTAAATAACATCACTATTATTTTGTTTTTCAAATTGAAGTACATATATAGTGTCTTTTTCAAAACTATATGTATATATTTTATTTAGAAAATTGATTGACAATACAAGTTTTAAAAATGTCTGAAAATCTATGTCGTGCTTCTATATCAAATCTAACTGAAGTCAAGAATAATTTTTAACTTTATTATCCAACCTTATTCAGCGATATAAAGTCTAAAAAATAACTCAGTTTAAATTAATAGTAAAATCTTAAACAAAAATGGTACAAAAAGTATGAGCTCTATAAATTATTATAGATATTTTTTTTTAGTTTTTTTTAAAGGGACAACATTAGTGCAAAAATATTTTTGTATCACCCTGTACATGTGTAAAAATATTTTCAACATGTGCGCTACCATTGGCCACATTTGTAAAATAAAATTGGGGTGAAAATCGCAAACAGAAAAATTTATATTATTTTTAGTATACCGGGTCGCCCTGTATTTCGACATAGGCTTTTTGTCTCATTGGCATAGACAGTGTTGATAACCACAGTAAAAAATATACAGGGTCCTGCAACAAAGCGTCTTAAGTTAATTTTAAGTGCAGACCATAAACGTGCACTAGGTCGTATTTCAGGAAATTATGTTCAGTTGTATAGGGTGTCCCAAAAAAGTGTAGATGTATTAAATGGCTCTCTTTTCCACGTTTTTACACTAAATTTGTTTTGATAGTTCAAGAGAAATAACTACATAAAATATAGGTGCAAATTTTTAAGATACATTTAGTGCGATAAAAATTTAAGTTACCTATACATTTTTTTAGAATAATTCTGATCGTCTTGTGTTTATTTTTATTTCACTCTCTGGCGGTTCAGGTAAAACCTTACATTTAAACAACATGTCCAACATGTTGTAACATGTCCTAAATTTAAAGTTTTCTCCTACCTCCAATAGGGAAACCTGCAGGTATCGCACTAAATATATCTGAAAACTCTGTACATATACCGTATGATCGAAAAAAAAACGGCGTCCAGTTGGCTGGGAAATGAACATCGATATTTCCCA